TCAGAACACCATCGAGGGCGACGTGCCGATGGTGCCCCACAGCGACAAGTGGAAGAGCATCATGTTGAGGTCTGGCGAAGTTCTGCTCTGGAGCGCCGAGGATTTGGAGCGCTGCTTCTACGCGTGCAGCTTGTGCGACGCTTGTCTCAAGTATATGGCAATCTCCAAGCCGGCCAAGATGGCTACAACTGGGCTTCCAGGAGCGGGTCTGGTTTATCTGGCAGCAGCTGCAGTGCCGATGGGGTGGATTTCAGCGACGGGAGTGATTCGACATATGCACCGACGGGGTGGATTTCAGCTGGCAGCGGGGGAAGGACATCGCAAGGGCGCACTCTTCCCGCCCGCCGTCGCATCGTTGCTGAGGACGCTGCACCTGTACGCGGCCAGGTTGGAGTTGTACAACGACGAGAGGCCCGAGATCTACATCGGCCGAGGCTCGGCACGTCGCGGTCTGAAGCCCTCCAAGTGGGGCAATCCGTGCCGCGTGCGCGACGGCGTGCCGAGGCTAGAGGCGGTTGACCTATGTGTGCAGTACCTCAGCGGGGCGGCTGAGCTTCTCGGGGATCTCGCTGCTCTGAGCGGGACGCGGCTCCTATGCCACTGCGCGCCTGGGCAAGCGTGCCACGGCGATGTTCTCATTGAGAAGTGGAAGGGGCGCTTCAACGTTTGCTCCCTGCGGCGAGCGTGGCCGGCGTACATTGACAACCTGGACATTCTTAAGATCTCTGACTGGTGGCAGGCAGCACAGAGCAAGGAGAAGGGCGTCAGTGCGGCGGCCGAACTGGCACGCGGCCGCAACGAGATCTTCGGGGTGCCGCGGAGCGAGCAAAAGGCCGTGATTCGAGAAGCGCAGATCTAGTCCATGGGTGACGCCATCGATGGAGCGCGTGGTACCATACACCCACCCGCCGACTTCAATAGTCGCCTGGTCTCGCTCAGCCTCGCCGCGCTGAAGCGGGGCGCCGCGACGCAGAAGTGGATGCAGATCGTGGCCGGCCGCTGGGCGAGATGTTTGCTCTTCAGACGTGAGTCGATGATGTGCTTCACCCTGCTGTGGCGCTTCCTGGTCCGCATCCGAGGAGCAGCACCTCTTCCGCGTAGGGTGATCGAGGATTTGCCGTGTGCGACGACGCTGCCCCCGCTGCTGCGCCGCGACCTGAGAGTGCTCATCAGTGGGGTTTAGTCACCGTGTCCGACGCCAGCATGCAGCGCTGTGCGCGTCTACGGGCTGATGGAGTCGCCGCAGCACGCGCGGCGAGCCGTCGCATCGTCACCGGTTTCCGCGATGAGGCGGTGCTGCTGCCCCTCTTCGACGGCATCGGAGGTGCGAGACGCGCCTTTGGCCTCGCGCCCGCGCTCTTCGTGTCCGCAGAGATTGACCCCGCATGCTTGGCCCGACGTGTTGGATCCTGGGGGTGCGCGGGCTTTTGGTTACGCGGGGGCTATCGCCATACGGGAGAGGGCGCCGCGCGCGAAGTGGATCCTCATGGTGGCTGGTAGTCCCGGCAGCGACCTAGGCCGCATCAGCGTGGAGCGCGAAGGCCTGCAGGGCCGACGATCCAAGCTCTTCTTCGAGATTGGGCGGATCAAGCTTCTGTTGGAAGAGGTTATGGGGTAGTTCTGCTCAGTGGTTTCTTTGAGTGAGAACTTCGCCTCGATGGATGTCGAGCCCAGAGAGTTGATGTCCCAGCGCGTTGGTGTGGCTCCAGTTCGCATGTGTGCCAGTGTTATCACTCATTGTGAACGTGATCGGCTGAGCTGGATTGATGAGCAGCTGCTTTGTGATTGGCAGGGGGAGACACGTGTGATTGACGAGGTCAAGGTAGTTCCTAGGCCTGGTGGTCCTGGCCCAGTCAGTCGCTGGTTGAGCAGTGGCTTCAAGCGGCATGGGGATGTTGATTACGATTCCCGGTTGCCTACCTTCCTACGGTGTATACCTCGTCGAGCTCCTGGGAAGTACCCCATTGGTATCCAAGGATGTTCTCAGGCGGAGCACCGAAGGTGGGTGGAATTCAACTACTGCTACGCGCCATACCAGTTCCAGGACGCCAGCTGCATCGAGGAGCCGAGCGGCACCCGAAGACCCCCGAACAGTGCCGATAGAGAGAGAGAGAGAGCTCTTGTTGGATTTCCTTCCAGGGCACACCATCACCGCTCGGGTGACCAGGGCGCGCCAGCTGGAGAGAGCAGATCTGGAGACATGCCGCTGCGCCCTGCTGGGCAATAGCTTCGAGTGTGCCGTGGTTGCCTGGGTCGTGTCGCACTGGGCGGCGAAAGCTGGCCACCTGCCCCATGTGCCCCCCGTCGAGCTGATGCGCGATAGCCGACTCCAGCGTCAACGCGCACGAGTCTAAGTTCGAGGACGGAGCCATTGTTCGCAAGCACAATTTGGAGGATGAGAGCGTTGCCAGCGCCCCGAGCATCGTGATCGCGGTGGAGTTGGCCCGTCGTGCTGGGGCGCGCGAGAGCGACATCAGGCTCGACGCACTCGAACCCATGAGACCAGATCTCTGGCCGCGGCGCCCCCTGAGCGTTGTCCGATGGACCTGGAAGGCGACTGCTATCTGTGACTGGAAGCAGGCATTACACACTACAGATCTCGAAGTTCGGGCTACGTTGCGGGCCTTGAGATGGAGAGTTCGATCTTCTCATCACCTGCGTAACCGTTTCTGTCATTTCATGGATTCACAAGCTGGCCTCGGAGTGATCACGCGAGGTCGTTCGTCTTCTAACTTGTTGCCTATCACAGTGCGACGTACTGGTGCCCTCATCTTGGCTGTTCTCGCTTGCCCAGTCTACGGCTACACGGAGACCGGCCGCAACCCCGCGGGCAATCCGTCGCGGGGAGCGCCGGAGGCAGTTATTTAGTGCCATGCCTTCGCGAGGTGCGAGAAGACTCGGAGCAGCCCAGGATCAAACCACACGTCGCCTTCTTCGCGCTGCATTGGGGCGTCTCTCACATAACTTGGCGCAGCCTCACGCGCGCGAAGTCTATCATAATGCAGTGGGACAATTTTCTGAATGTGTGTCCAACCTCGGCCTCCCTTGGTCAGGAGGCGCTGATCAGGTGCACCAGCCGGACCTTCTGGTGGCAGAGTGGATCGAATGGTTATGGACCGAGGGCCATCCTCAGGGTCTAACTGGCGACGCGCTGTCTGCGGTGCAATTTCGTTTGCGAAAGAAGCGCATCTTGCCAGCCTCGTGGAGACTGCTGCGGGCCTGGCAGGATCTCGAGCTGCCGCAGCGGGTCGTGCCGTTGCCTGAGTTGGTGCATGCAGCAAAGGCGGCCACAACGCGGGGCTGGGGCCGCAACGATGTAGCCGCTTTGCTCGTGATCGGGTTCGCCGGCTTCCTGCGGACCACCGAGATGCTCACTGCGCCGCTGGCAGGTTGCTATCGATCAGGCTAACGCCAGACTTGCGGGGAACATCGGTCGCAGGGGCTGGCGGCGGCGGCGAGAGGCAAAGGCGGGGTGGTAAGTTCATTGGAACTCTACTGTTCCGCGTGCGGCCCCCTTCGAAGCCATCGCTCCGACGAGCCTTTGGCGAGCGCGGACCAAAACAGAACAGAGGGGCAACAGCGGGGAAGAAACATAATATCAGACTTAGTGGGGATTGTTTCGGAGTCTGGTGGCCCCAGGTTATCAGTGCTGCGCTCGCCGCCTCGTCCGGAGTTTTTTGCTCCCTACCTCGAGCAACCCCCAGGACGAGGAAGAGCGCTCTTGGGAGTTTCGATGCCCTCTGAGTCACGCCTTGCCTCACCCAGCGCCCGTTTTCTTTTCGAGCCGTTGGCGGCCTTCGTTTCGGTTTTGGTTTGGTATTCCGTTGAGGATCCTGGATGCAACGGCCTCCGACGGCCCTGCCTCGGTCCCGGGGGTAAATCCGGTCGCGGGGGCTGGCGAGGCCATCGCTCCGACAAGCCTCTGGTGAGCGCGGACCAAAACAGAACAGAGGGGCAACAGCACAGAAGAACCAAAACTGCCCACGGGCTCCCAAGATGCCCCTCCTCCTCCTCCTCCGCCTCCTCCTCTCTTCCCCCTCCTCCTCTTCATAAACATAACGTTCGACGGTCCGCGTGGATTTCTTGGATTTGCGCTGGGCCTCCCTCCCTGGCGCCCGGGGGGCGTGCCAGTTGGGCGGCGCCGCGGGCGCCGTCAGGGAGGCCCAGCGAATGCCCAAGAGATCCGCGCGGACCGTCAAACGTCTGTGTTTTGGTTCTTCCTTTGGATTCGGTGCATGCTCCGCGTGTGGTGTGGGGAGTCACCCCGCCCGTCCTCGCCCGGCCACCTTCAACCCTGAAGGCCAGGGTAGGGGGGCCTAGGAACAGCTCGGCGGGCCGGCCCCAGGCCGAGACCAGCGGGTGCAGCCCGGGAGGAGAGAGTGGAGGGAAGAGAGGGACAGAGGAGAGGTGGTGGTGGTGGCGGTGGTGGTGGTGGTGGTGGTGGTGGTGGTGGTGGTGGGGTTGGTGGTGAAGGGGGTGGAGGTGGTTGTGGTGGTGGTGATGGCGGTGGTGGTGGTGGTGGTGGTGGGTGGTGGTGGTGGTGGTGGTGGTGGTGGTGGTGGTGGTGGTGGTGGTGGTGGTGGGGGTGGTGGTGGGGGTGGTGGTGGTGGAAGCCCAGAACCGGCAGCGGTAACCCGGACGGAATCGGCAGCCAGCGTCTGAGGGGACCATGGGGCGCCCACTGGAGGTTTTCTCGCGAAAATCTGGATGTGGCAGCTAATCGTTCAGATTCTAAGCTAGAGGCCCTAGGGGCAAAGTCTCTTTCCGGATTCGTTCTTCCCCCCTTCATCTCTCCCTTCCCTCTCTCCTTGATTTCTGTTCCTTCCCGCCCACGGCCTCGCGCTGAGGCAGGACTTCGAGGCAGGAGGGGCACGTTTGCTGTCGAAGCTGACTTCTGAAAGGATCCAGGGACAGGCGGCAGCCCCGTGTTGTGACAAAGAGGCGGCGTCGAGGCCCGATGGGCGCGTGCAACTGGTCAGTTGAGGAGGAGCGGGGATGAGCCCGCGGCGAGGTCTGGATCAAGATCCAGGATTTGCAGTTGCGGCTGCAGAAGGAAAATGAAGAGTTGGCCGCAAAGGAGGAGGATCTCCTGCCTGTTGCTCTGCTGTGGGTTTCGCTGTTTTTGCTCACCGTCTGTTCATGGGCCAATGTTCCACCACCGCTACCTTAGAGAGGGCGGGGGAGAAGGGAGGTTGGGGAGGTCCTCCTCATTTTCCTCCTCCTCCTCCCTCTCCTACCTATGGTGGTGGTGGTGGAACATCGGCCCATCATCTGTTGCCAACTCAGATCCGGCCGCGCGTATCGATCTATACGTTTGCAATGGGGCTTCGACGGGAGATGAGGCGGAGGCTGCACCACCGAGAAAGCACTCTCGGCCTCGCTTCGCGTCGCGCGTGCGGGCGAGGCCAGGCGAGCCTGCGCTGGTGTGTGTTAGAAGCCCTCCACTGCCCAGATTCCAGCATGTACGGGTACGGTGGGGGCGTTGATTAAGGAGTGCGCCCAGGGGCTTCAGACCCTGGAGGATTCCTTATCGGATGAGGTCGGCAGTGAAATCCATGGCCAATCCACGATTGGCATTCCACCAGCTTCCAGGCCCTGGATTCCTTGTCCAATGGTTCCTTATCCAATGCCCTCACCCTAATCACGTCAGGCTGATTCGCGCCCCGGCGCCTGCGCAGGTCTTCCTGGTCGTGCTGGGGTTGGCACGTGGTTGCCCCGGGGCCAGCATGTGTGTTCCCCCAGTTGCTCCCCGGCTGCCCGTTGGTTAGTTCTTTGGGGTCCCGTGTTTGTCCCATGCGGTTGGCCCGCGCGGCCGTTTCATGGTTGCCTCGTCACGAGGTGGCCACATGTTTGACAGCATTGACCCCGACAAGTGAGCCTTTTGCACTCTGGTTGTTCAAGCGCTACGTCGTGCTGGCCATGTGATGCAATATGTGTGCGCTGCTAGCAGAGTGGTGCAACTTGTGCGTGGCGCAACCTATGTGTTGGAGCCAGTGTGGGGCAAGTAAATGTGCCGCAAGCTACGTATGGTACTAGCTGTGTGTGGTGTGAACTGTGTGGAGGTACCATCGAAAACAGTGTGTGTGCGTTCAGCTAGCAGGTGCAGGCCATTGGGTGTAAGTTCTGCGGTGGACATCCTCGACACCTGGGTTAGCCGCTGTAACGCAGGCGACATACTGCGCAAGCAGCGCGTGGCGCCCACGAGGCCCACGGCCGCCCACCAGGCGAAGTCTCGACAGCCAGCCGGCGCACGGGGCGCCCACGAGGTGCCCACGGTTTGCCCCCCCTGGGGGAAGGGCGCCACGCTCCGGGCTCGGGCCGCAGGGCTCAGGGCTTCATCTTCCCATCTGACGCAGGCCAATCGCAATTCGAATGTGGCGCTCTTCTCCTTTACCCCCCCCAACCCCTTGCAATCCCCTTGTAATCCAAAGTTTGTGCTATAGGCCATATGCACAGAAGCCGGTACCAAGTGTTACTCTACATTGAACAGCTGCTCATGTTGGCCCAATGCTCACGTAGCCATCTGTACATTAACCGCATCTACCGCAGATTAGTGATGATGGAAGCCAAGCGATGTGGAATGCCCTACGCCATTTTCAACAATTGACACGCCTAGTACAACATCGCATTTGGCGAATACGCATACAATTATCTCATGCGACGAACTCGCAGCTCGCCAGGATTCCGTTCTCCACCTCCAGGATGCCAATCAGTGATGTTCCCAGGACGCAGGTTTTAGAAATCACCGCAAGCGAAGTACCATGTTGTGGTCGCAAGTCTTACCACAATACGGCAATGCCAAGGGGCAAATATCTCCTCAGATGTTTTGAGTAACAGTCAACAGCAGACATCATCATCTGGACCAGATGTGGCACGCGGGCTCACCGTGTTGAACCATAGTGTCAGCTCAGCATGATCCAAACCAGGGTCAACACACATTTCATCGCGTAGCCGATCTCGTTCGCGGTTTACTCTTCCCTGTCGAACTCTAGGGCAGCATGTTGACTGAATGCATCAGCTGCGCTGTCTGGATAGCCGGCCTGGGAGTGGCATCGAGGGGATATGAACAGAGGGTGCGAGACAGAGAGTCGAGAAGGATCTGACCAGCTCCCAAGTGGTCGTTTTTGATTCATTGTTGTGCCGACCAGCGCTGGCCCTCGCACCCCCCCTCGCCCCCCCCATGGAGTAGATCTTCGCTGTTTTTGACGCCTGTTTCGAGCAGGTGGAGTCTCCCCCATCGGACGCACTGTTGCAAACAGTCGCGCTGAGCACAGCACAGGTCCAGAGCCAGAACCCCCCCCCTTCCCCCCCTTTTCCGCCCGATGTCGAAACGCCGGATAAGAAAACGCTCACCAAGCCTCGCCTTCCTCCTCTCTCTGAGGCGGGCGAGCTGAGACAACGGTACTTGGCCTTCGGGGGCCCCCTCGTCACCACGCGTCGACGCAGCTCGGCAACCTGGTGCGCTCGGATCCTGGGAGGGGGCCCAGGGAGCGATGTTGAATTGCCGCTGCCCCGCTCCGAGTGGTGGTCTGGCCGTGTGTGCCGGTGCGAGTTTCGCATGTGGTGTGTTGCAGAACAAATCGAGACGATCGAAGTGGGTACAAAGACCGTTGTCGGTGTCGCCGTGGCCTGTGTCCATTTGAGACAGGTGGCCGCCTGCCCACCAGCGGCCGCTGTTGGTGTGGGACAACTGCTGGGACAACTGTACCCCTTTTTCTGTACCCATTCCAGGCGTCAAAAAAAGAATCTTGGCTCTCGGCGCATCTCGCTTTTTGCAGAAGCCGGCGGGCGTAGAGAGGGGGCGGACTTGATTTGCTGGTAGGAAGCCGCGGAAGGCAGAGGGGGACGTCCATGTGTTTGGATATTTTGGGTTCCCGGAGTTGAGAAATTGTGCATGTCCGTGTGAACACGCTGCGCCTTTGTTCGGCACGTGCTGGCTCACGTTTTGGCGTAAGTATCGCGCCAGACTTATGTCTTCAGTCTGCACTGCCGTTTGTAATACATGCTCCGCGTGCGGATCATGTATTAAACATGCAGGGATTTTGTATTAAAAACAACGATGGGTTCATGCATACATTCATTCCCAAAGTAATCATGTATTAAACATCTGATATTTATAAACAAAATCCCATGTATTACAATTTGCCCTGTACGTTTAAGTCGGGCATGCCCCCGTACAGGAAGAATGTGCAAGAATAGTAAACAATAGTACGGTGGCGATTTGTCGCGCTCTTTGAATTATTGTTGATGTTTTGTTGATTATGTTTTTCTTCCACACTCAGCCTGTAGGAGGACATGCCCGACCTGAGTCTACGTGTTGAGCTCCGCCTCAACACGCTGCGGGTTGCGCGCTGCGCGCCGTCGAGCAATCCTGGGAGGTCAAATTCTGACTTTTGCCCTGGTCCGTAATCCGGCCTACTCCCGCTCAAGCTTGCTTCATCCCGATTCATCCGCGGCCGAAGCTGGCGTGACAGCCCCCCAATGGGAGGTAAGATGTTTCAATCCTTCCGACGAATACCTCCCAGCAGTTGCCTCCTAACATTACCAGCCTGGAACATACCCCTATCCCTATGCGGGGCATCTCCTCATCACGATGCCAATCTCAGGGATTCCCTCATCTTTTGAGGGCGCACCCCTAAGATTGTCATCGCCTTTTGGCGTGTCAATCTTAGGGGTAGGGATAAGTTCGAGGCTGGTAATAACGCCCGCAGCGGCGGCAGCGGGCAGCTGCTCGAGAGAGCGCTCCGCGCCCCCCGCTCCCCCCCCCCGGGCGGAAGGGGGCGTGGCCGGCCACCCCACGGAGCGCCAGGGGGCCCAGGAACGGTCAGGAGGGGAGAGAAGCGGCCACAGTGTATCGTCCGCTCCCAGGATATACATACCTATATATGTATAGTTATGCACATGTGTATATACATATACATATAAATATATACACATATACATATAAAGAGATGTGGGAAACTATGGGAAGGGTGGAAGACGCTCCCAGGATATACATATATACATCTATACACATGTGCATACATCTGTATATACATATATATATATATACATGTATATATATATAGAGATATATACACATATACACATACACATATATGTGTAGATGTGGGAAAATATGGGAAGGGGGGAAGACGAAGGCCAATAAGATATCGAAAAATATGGCGGTGAGCAGGGGAACACGCACGGCCACAATGCATCGTCGGTTCCCAGCAAAATGTGTGCAAGCATGGGAAGTGGGGGGGCAGACGAAGGCCAAGAAACCATGGGAAAACACAGGGGACTCCTGGGATCTGCTTCTGTGGATTTGCGTGTCCCTGGGCCCTTTTGCACGGGGGAGTCCCGAGATCTTGGCTTTGCAATCTTTCCACGCCCGGCGTTTTCGCTTGGTTTCGGGCCCCCGGACCCTCACAGTTCGATCCGGCTACAACTACATCAGGAGGGAAATAATCACACATACACAATTAATCGTCGATTCCCAAGAGAAAATGTGGGAAAGTTGGGAAGTGGGGGGGAAGACAAACACATAGAAAATATGTGAAAATATTGGGAATCCTGTTATTTGTGTGTCCCAGGGCCCCTTCAATACAATCAGCCCACATTGTAAAGATGGGCAACCTTCTCAAGGGTACCCTTGCATCCTTGCCCTCTCCGTCCATCCTTGGCCACTTTCGTTGGCCACGCCCCGCTCGAAAAGCTTCGAAATGAGCGCCGAAGGCCTTTGCATCCTTAGCGCGCATCATGATCATACGGGCAGACTGTCAACGCAGGGAGATATGGTCGTGAGTTCTTGGCGTTGTTGAATCTTGGGGGTGACGTCATGTTTGAGGGAAGGAGAGGCCACACCACCACCACAGGGGAGGCCACCTCCAGCGAGGAGGTGCGCGACGCCTCCTGAGCTAGGGACAAGGGATGCCGCGAGCGAGCGCAGGCGGGGGTGCACACCACCAGGAGTGCCCCTACTGGCGCTTCCCGCTGGTGGTCCCTAGTGGTGGTGGTGTCGTTTTCCTTGCTTGTTCCTCGACGGGCCAAGAACATGCGCCCTCCAGAGGCAGGTGTCTCTTTGGGAGGGCCTCTGGAGGGCCGGTTTTCGGGGGCGAGTGAGGGGGGAAGTGAGAAGCAGAAGGCCTTTGCAGAAGGCGGCGGGACTTCTCAGAAGCCCGCCAACCTTTGAGAAGTTTTCTGTGCCATCGGGGAAGGCTCAGCAGACTCTTCAGCAGGCTGGGTGGCTTCCGAGCCTTCTGAGAGTGCCCGCCCCTTCTCACTTCCCCCCCGCGCTCGCCGCCAATGTTTGGCTGGGCCTGGGGGGCGACAGCCGACCACCTGGCACGTGCTGGCCAGGCCTCTCCTGGACCTAGGATCAGCGTACATGCCTCCCTGGCCGAGCCAGGAAGTCGCGCACAGCGATCTCGAGCAGTTGCGAGGCGTCCTGGCATGCCTTCAGACCCGCCAAAGATTGCTCTAAGAAGATTTCTGGCTGGGGATGTCTTGTTTCAAGCCATCGGCTTGCCGTTCTAAGAACATGGCTCTTGTTGTTTGAGCATTCCTGGGCTCTAGGAACATTTCGTGGTAGGCCAGTAGGAATGCCGGGACGGTCGGTCCCTGACCAAATCCTGTGCCCAGAACGGATCCTGCCTGCTGAGCGACGGAAGGAAACGGGGTGGGCTAGGCCGAGATTCGTGCGTGAGTTTCCCGCGTTAGGTCACGCATTAGCGCGCTCGCTTTCAATGTATCGTGCCGCGCGGATGGACCGCGTGAGCCACCGCGTAAGGCCGCTACGCCATCTCGCGTGAGACCGGGTTCTTTTCGTCCCTCCTTGAACTCCGACGTTGCCGCCTTTCGCGAAACATTTTTCTGCGACACATCGCGAAAAAATGAGGCGAAACATCTTTCTGCGTCACCTTTCGAGCCGGATGGAGCGGCCCGGGTCCCCGGGCCCGAAACCGGGCGGGACCGCCCTCTTACGTGCAGACACTGCAGCGCCAGGCTCCCAGGGTTGGCTGTCCAGCAGACGCCTCTCACTTAGCTTCTGGCTAGGCTACCTGCGTGGAGGGGCGAGGGCCAGGCCACACTGTTCCTGGTGCCGTGTCGTCCCTTTCGGCGGCCGCATGCGAGCCTTGACCCCGCCGCCCCACGAGTTCTGATGGGGTGGAGGTGGGGCTCACTTCGCTCGGGAGGCCCCGAACCCGAGCGAAGCGAACCCCGGCTCCCCCCCCTCAGAAATCGTTGGGTGGCGGGGTTAGGGGTCCGCATGTGGCCCATGTTTTCCTTTCTTGCCCGTGTCTCCCGCGAAGCCCATTGACTATGAGACGTCATCGGGACATATTGCAGGGATTATGAATATCCAAGCAAATGACTTGTTAGGGGTCCGCATGTGGCCTCCTATCCTTCTTCCCCACGGAGAGGCGCACAACCCATCCGTCTGTGCCACTGTCCGAGCTGAATCGAATGGTGTGCGGGGCCTGGGGCGCCAGGGGCCCTACCCCTACCCCCCTGCGCACGGGACGCTGCAGAGGCAGCTGGCGCGGCGAGGCCCGATAGAAGATCGGGACTCCACGCAGGCCAGGACTCGCTTGCACGTCTTCTCGGCCCAGCATGGCTTGCAAAGGCGGCGGAGGGCGGGTGCAGGGGGGGTGACGCTGCATCTCTCGGGGGCCTCGCCGGTCCCCGAGATTGGTGTCTTTTCTTGTGCCCGACGCGGGCTCGATGCGGACTCGACGATGACCTGGCGTAGGTCCGACGCGGATTCGACACGGATCCGACATGGATTCGACACCGATTCGACGTTGTTAGGGCCGACAGGGGACAGACGATAATGTTTCCCGAGGATGCAACATAAGCGAATGTGCCAGAATCTGAAGAAAACCTTAGGATCGGTCCGTAGCCCTTTTGGCTCAAGCCGCCTTCGCTCGGGCCCCTGTGTGGTGCCAGGGCGCCGCGGGCCGCGAGAGCCCGGGCCGCCCGGCTCTGCTTTTTTTTTTCGCTGCGGCGGGCGGGCGGCGCGCGGCCTCTCCGCGAACGGCGGGCGCATCGCGGGCGGGGCATGGCGCGGCGCCTTCGGGGAGTGCCCGCAGTTGGCCTCGGCCTGCTGCCGGCCCTGCTCCGCGCGGCGGGCGGCGCAGCGGCGTCCGAGGGTGCGGGCCCCGATGCGTCAACTCATGCAGCGCCACCGCTACGGCATCACCTGGGAGACGAGAGGATGTGCGTGGAAGGCCGGCCAGATTTGTGCCGAGACCGTCTCCGAGATTGCTCGATTTCGAGTCCTTTCGAAGCTTGTTTTTGTGAGGACGGTTACGGTGCCCATGACACCAAATGCGTTACGGACAGCTTCGGGTACAGTTGTAAATTTATTTGTTGCCTTGCTCAGGTCGGCTTCGAGTGTGGACCCTTCTCTCGGGAGAATTTGCACCTCCTTGCAATCATTGGTCTCTCGGGCCTTGCCCTTGGCACTGGCGGGGTCTTACTGACCACACTGTGGGCTGTTTCTGGTCGGAGATCAAGGACTGTATGGCTCAGCCCAGACGACCGTGCTGTTGAATCAGCGTCCGTAGTGCGAGACGGCGCCAGCTTGCACCGCGAAGTGCCAATGGAGCGGTGGTGCGTGACCAAGGCGGATCTGAAGCAGCTTAGGCGACTCGTTTGGCATGCAGTTCAAGAGCATCGGATCGTACCCACAGAGCATGACCCCTTCGACGCAAGCGACGACAGGATCGGCCCGTCCGTCCACACTGTCAACGACCAGTACATAAAGCCCGTTACGCTTGCAGCGGGGAAAGCAAGTTGGGCTTTGATGAGACATCCTGAGGGTCTACCATGCCATCTTTTTGTCACACATGGGTGGGAAGAGGGTGTGTTCGAGTTGTGTGACAAAGTATTGCGGTCTTGGCCTATGGGGCTCAAGCACGCGCATGTATGCGTGCTGTCGAACCCACAGAACCTGGACATATCTGCTCTCATCTCTACCCCCATGGAGTCCCCCTTTGCCAAAGCCTTGGCGTCCGCGACGCACATGTTGGCGGTCCCGAATCGGGTCAACAGCATATATTCGAGGATCTGGTGTGCTTACGAGGCCTTCCTGGCATACACGTGGCGCAAAAACATTAGCACTGCCCGGTCCGAAGTGCCAGGCTTCTGGCCCCGCATTGTGAGGATGGTTTTCCTATCTCTATCAGGGGCAGGCGCAATGTGCACCATTTTCGCTCATTTCAGAGTTTTGACGGCGGCATATCCTGCAGATGTGTTTGTGTTGGCGCCCCAAGCAGTGGTTGGTTCTCTGACGTTTGCATACGTGGTCCTTCGGAAGCGCTCCGCCGACTCACTCTCTCTTCGCATTGTCCTCCGAATGCTTGGATTCGCTTGTGGTGCCGTGGGCGCAAACAACGTCGTGAATCGCCCCCACCATCTGACATCTTGGTTGTTCTTCGTTGCGGTGACCCAGTTTCCGACCGCGCTCGAGGCCGACAGGCTGTGGGCATCAGGAGCGGCCGTCACAGCTTGGCAATTGCAGAACGGTTTTACGGGCCACCTCCGAGACGCCAGGTGTTCGGTCCGTGCAGATGGGGAACGCATCCGGGAAGAGCTCGCATCAAGCTATGTTGGGGACGGTGCGAGCAGTACTGGCTATATGCATCTCGTTGACAAGAACGTGGCAGACATAATACGCATGGGCATGGTGTCGGCACATCTGCGCCAAGCCGAAGAATTAGCTGGGCCTCTGGGCGACGTGAGCATTTGGGGCGTGGGCCCCACATCAATCGGGTTGATATATTTGGCAATGACAGCTCAACAAATCGAAGGTGAGTGGTGCGGCGGCCATACTTCTTGGGAGATCTGGCTCATACTCTTGCAAGGCCTATGCTGGACAATCATCTTGGCGCGCTCGCCACAAGATCGCGTAGCCTTCGCGACAGGAGCACTCACGTTTCTCGTCCCGATGATGGCCATGGGGATTGTTGAATACGGGCTGACCAATAATTTCTGCGCCACCAACTACTTCACATCTGTGTCCGTTGGCCCTTTGATTATCATGCTGTCCGCTGCTGGGCCGGGGCGCGTTGCGCGGGTGCCCGTGTTTGGGCCTCTTCTGGTGCGCGCGACTTTTGGGTTCCACCTGTGCGGCCAGCGGCATGGGGACTTGAAGGACGCCACTTCGTAATAATAGTATCTCACGCGGCGAGGTGGCTACGTCGCGGAGTGAAAAGGTGAAGCCAATTCTAACTTCGGCATCTGGAATATGATCGTTCAGTCCTTCTCCTGGCGTGCCTCAGGCGCTGCCTGGCCCGTCAGTGCAGCGAGCGTGCAGTAGGATGTTGCGTGACCCCGCTCGGAGGCAGCCTCGACTGCGGGCCTGAAAGAAGGTTCGCCGAGGCGACAGCGGTTCGAGTAATTGTTTATTTAATCGCTTCGCTCATTCCGCCGGCCCATAATGCGTAATCGCTGGGGTTTGGCTGCGCGTCCGTGAGCCATGCTGCGCTGATGGGGGGGGACGTTGTTTTCGGTGGTGGGTGCACCAGTCCGGTGTAGTTGGTTCGACGTTTGCGGCTGTCAGTGGTTTGTGGCGCCATCGTCTGCTCAGTTCGGTCGTGGACAAGACGCGTTTTTTAGAGTCCGTTTGCGGTCTCTTGGGAAGCCTCTCGAGGGCCTCTTGGCAGTATTTCTAGAGCCTCCTGGGGCCTCCTGTGGGCCTCTTGGGGCCTGTTGGGGGCCTCTTGGGGCCTCTCGGCGGCCTCTTGGGGGCGTTATGAGGTCTCCTGGGGACGTCTTCGGCTTAGAGCGCGAAATGTCCGTTCCGGTCCGCCGTCGGGGCCCGGTCTTGGAGCCGTCTTGGAGGCACTTTGGGCCATCTTTGAGGTTTCTGGGGGTCTCTTAGGGCTCTCTGGGGTCGTTTCGGAACGGTCTTGAACCCTCGTAGGCCGTATTGGGGCGATATTGAGGGCTTTGTGGGCCGTCTTGGAGCGCTAGTAAGCCGAAGAGGCGAGAACGCCAAAATCCTATAAAAAAACAATGTAAATCATCAATTTTGGCTTGTTGGGGGCCTCTTGGGAGGTCTCTTGGACGCATCTTGGGGCGTCTTGGGAGCATCTTGGGCCGTCTTGAGGCCTCTTGGGGGCGTTATGAGGTCTCCTGGGGACGTCGTGCGGCTTAGAGCGCGAAATGTCCGTTCCGGTCCTCCGCCGGGGCCCGGTCTTGGAGCCGTCTTGGGGGCATCTTGGGCCATCTTGGAGGTTTTTGGGGGTCTCTTAGGGCTCTCTGGGGTCGTTTCGGAACGGTCTTGAACCCTCGTAGGCCGAAGGGCTTTGTGGGCCGTCTCGGAGCGCTAGTAAGCCGAAGAGGCGAGAACGCCAAAATCCCCCCACAAAAAAAACAATGAAAATCATCAATTTTGGCGTGTTGGGGGCCTCTTGGGAGGTCTCTTGGACGCATCTTGGGGCGTCTTGGGAGCATCTTGGGCCGTCTTGAGGCCTCTTGGGGGCGTTATGAGGTCTCCTGGGGACGTCTTGCGGCTTCGAGCGCGAAATGTCCGTTCCGGTCCCCCGTCGGGGCCCGGTCTTGGAGCCGTCTTGGGGGCATCTTGGGCCATCTTGGAGGTTTTTGGGGGTCTCTTAGGCTCTCTGGGGTCGTTTCGGAACGGTCTTGAACCCTCGTAGGCCGTATTGGGGCGATATTGAGGGCTTTGCGGGCCGTCCTGGAGCGCTAGTAAGCCGAAGAGGCGAGAACGCCAAAATCCTAAAAAAAAAAAAAAAATGAAAATCATCAATCTTGGCTTGTTGGGGTCCTCTTGGGAGGTCTCTTGGACGCATCTTGGGGCGTCTTCGGAGCATCTTGGGCCGTCTTGAGGCCATCTGGGCCGTCTTGGGGCGCTCTTGGCTTCAGGCTGCTGGGCCTGCCACATATTTGGCGTCTCCTTGGAGCGCTCCTGGAGCGCTCCAGAGGCCTTCAGGGCCGCGCCCAGGAAGTCCGGCATCTCTGGCCCCCACCCTCCCGGGGATTTGCCGGGGTACTTTTCGCCCGGGGACTCCTAGGGGCCGCCCCGCGCGCGCGAACTAGAAATACTGTTTACCTGTTACCGGAGATCTTAGCACGCCCTGCGGGCCTGAAAGAAGGTTCGCCGAGGGCGACAGCGGTTCGAGTAATTGTTTATTTTGCGTCAGAGCTGCTCATTCAGAGCAGGTTTTTTTGTGCTGAACCATGTTTTTTAGTGCCTCGCAACTGGGCCCGCGCCAGGGTCGCAACGGAGGAGCGTCGTGAATTGGGCAGCCAATGCGTCGTCGTTGCCCGAATGTGGCCACTTGTCCCATTCTGCGTGGAAACACAGCTCGCAGGGTCTGTCACCAAGCGAAAGACGAACATCCACTGCCTTGCCACGCCCGCCAATGATGTCGCGGCACGGAGGGGCACTTGGTGCACCGCTTGGAACAGCACCAGCCACCGTACGTTTTGATGGCACCCTTTGCCTCGACTCGTTTCGCTCGTGTGATACGATGTCGTCTCAATCCGCTAGCGCCGCTGATTAGGCACTGCTGGCACCGCTGATCAGAATGCCCTGTTGTACTCTGCGCCCCTCCCTCTCCCTTCAGTTACCCTTCCCTCTGCGCTCTCTGCCCTCCCCAGGAAGAGCGGACAGCATTTGGGATGCAGCACGCGCGGCACTGGCCGGCCCGATCCCGCATCCACCAGCCTGCGCAGAGGGCCTGCGTGCCACAGGCGCGCCCGCCCTTCCTGCATGGACGATGGACTTTTGCCTGTTCGTTCTGCGCCCTCCCCGCCACCTGCTCCTCCACGTGCGGCCGCTGCTGCCCTCATCCTCGGCCTCCCCTTGCGCAGCGAGCGCCGGACAGCTGCACCTGCCCTTGCCGCAGCAGGCCCGCGCTGGCGCGGACAGCACGGCCGCGCGGTGGGCCGCGCTGTCCGCCTCTCGGCATCCTCGGCCTGGCCTGGCGTGCTCGGCTCGCTGGCCGGGCCTTCCACCGTCGAATCGCTGGGCCGATGCCGTCGACGCCGCCGTGGGCCGCAGCCGCGGATGGGCGGGGGTGCCACGTGGGGCTGGGACAGGGACAGATCGATCCAGCTCGTCCTGGAATGCTGTCAGAGCGTTCTGGACCGTGCTGATCAGGCCGCAGGTCCCGATACATCTTCCAGAGCCGCTAGCACTCTGAGGTCCCGAATCTGTCCCTGCCGATTTTGTCTCTGTCCCGGCTTCGTCTTGGGGTGATCCTGGCTTCCGTGCCGCTGTTTTCGTTGCATCGAGTCTCTGCGCCGACTTCATAGAGCCAGCCGCAATGTCGACGTGAACAAAAAAAACCTTAAGATCGGACGTTGCCAAAGAACCCTCGCCTTACAGATGGCAATACAAACAGCCCTCCAGACCTAGGGACCTATCTGAACTGAGATCTCGAGGTCCTGGTGCTATTTTTCAGACCTTTTTGATGGTCAGGGAAGTCACCACGGCGCCAGAAACCACGACCAGAGCCCTGGACCCCCTCTCTCTGCGTCATCGTTCTGGCCGCATCGAGCCGTGAGGGCCCCTGGGCCCGAACACGAGCGAACATCGCCTGGCGTGGAAACAGTGCAACGCCAGGACCTCGGGAAAACGCCGTCCCTCGAATAAGGGATCGACTGCAGCAGCGATTTGCCCCAGAATTGATTTGTCTTGTCACATGCAGGGGACATTCGTAGAAATTTTGATAGATCTACGACATATCGGCGTATTCGTTTGTATATGCGACGTGACAATTCATCCCAGGGTAAATACACTTTGTTATCGATCCCTTACTCGAGTCCCCAGGCAGCGGTCTGCTCCAAACTTTTTGATGCGTGGGCCCCGGAGGTCTGGACCACGCCCCCAGGGCCGGCTTCTCTTCCTGAGTCGTCTTTCGACGGTCGGGCGAGGGCAAAACAGGCCAAACCGCCCGCCCAGATGTTTCGGGATCGTCGGACCTTTGGGCCCGACGACACCCCCCGAGCACAGGGCGGCCAGCGACCCCCCCCCGGGGGCAGCCTGCCCCGAGCAGCGTGGTCAAGGACCCCCCTGGGGGCAGCCCGCCCCGAGCCGGCGCGGCCAGGGACCCCCCCCGGGGGCAGCTCGCCCCGAGCAGCGCGACCAGGGACCCCCCCCCTCCTCCTCCTCCTCCTCCTCCTCCTCCTCCCTCCTCCTCCTCCCTCCTCCTCCTCCTCCTCCTCCTCCTCCTCCTCCTCCTCCTCCTCCTCCCCTCCTCCTCCTCCTCCTCCTCCTCCTCCTCCTCCTCCTCCCTCCTCCTCCTCCTCCTCCTCCTCCCTCCTCCTCCTCCTCCTCCTCCTCCTCCTCCTCCTCCTCCTCCTCCTCCCTCCTCCTCCTCCTCCTCCGCCTCCTCCTCCTCCTCCTCCTCCTCCTGCTCCCCCTCCTCCTCCTCCCCCTCTCCTCCCTCCTCCTCCTCCTCCTCCTCCTGCTCCCCCTCCCCTCCCCTTCCTCATCCTTCCTCCTCCTCCCTCCTCCTCCTCCTCCTCCTCCTCCTCCTCCTCCCCTCCTCCTCCTCCTCCTCCTCCTCCTCCTCCTCCTCCTCCTCCTCCTCCTCCTCCTCCTGCCTCCTCCTCCTCCTCCTCCTCCTCCTCCTCCTCCCCAGGGCGGCGGCCCCCGGGCAGCGCGGCCGGGCCCCCCCCCGGGGGGCCGCCCGCGGGGCCGGCGCCGGGGGGCGGCGGCGCGGGGCTCTCTAAAGCCATGGGGCAGGCGCAGGCGGTGGCCGCGCGAGCGGCCCGCCCTGTCGCGCCCCGCGGCGGGGAGCCCGGCAGGGTCACGGTGGTGGCCCGCTTCGAGGCGCGGCGGGGGGGGGGTTTGGTATAGGGGGCCACATGCGCGAACCCCACTTCTACCCCCTACGATTTCTGAGGGGGAGGGGGGGGTTCACTTCGTTCGGGTGGCCCGCTTCGAGGCGCGGCCGGGGGGGGGGTCTGGGGCAGAGATTGCGGGAACGAGCAGTGCCATAAACCTAAAAACTCGAAGCTCCGCGCGGATTTCTCGGATCCGCGCTGGGGCCCCCCGGGCGCCTCCGGCGCCGCCCCTGGCGCGCTCCGCGCGCCAGGGAAGGGGGGTCCAGCGCGGATCCGAGAAATCCGCGCGGACCTCCGAGTTTTTATGTTTATGTCATTCTTCGTTCCCCTAAAAGATGTACCTTGAGATCCTGCGTGGTTGCTGAGGGGATGGGGGGGGGGCAGAAGTGGATGCTAAAGTGGGTCTAGTCTCTGGTCTAAGACACCTCATGAGTGGCTTACAGGTGCACTATGTGGCTTAAAATGATGAGGTCACTCCGCCAAGTGGGCTCCGCCCGCTCGGCCCAGATCTGTACGCCTTTAAGCAACTTAGGGCACGTGCAGCCTACTTCTAAGCTGGGTTAGGCTGGATAGAAGCCACCTTGGCATCCACTTGAATCCCCCTATCCTCTGATCAACTCCCGCGGCGATCCAAGAAGCAATTTTTGCACCACCGGCGTCTGCGCTCCAGTTCGGGCTCTGGGACCCTCACCGATCGATGCGGCTCGAAACATGTCGCAGAAAGATGCGGTCCGGGGCTCGTGTCATGATTTTCTGCGATTTTGCAATTTGTTCGAAACGTCGGATCTCAGGGTATAGGGGGAATAGGCTCCCTCCTCCTCCCTGTTCCCTCTGCATCCTCACGCAGGTCTGTATGCTGCCTATACCCACAGGGCTGGGTAATCTCGACAGGGTTTGCGAGGGCAAGTGGCCCAAAGTTGCGACGCCCCCCACAGTTCCGGATAATTGAGAGTGAAGAGGCGACGGGGACGTCGGCAATTTGGGCAGGGGAGGCCACGACGACACGACGGCGACACGGCGACACGGCGAGGAAGGTACCCCAGGCCGGGGCCAGAGGACTGCGGCCAGGACTGGGGCAGGGGCCGGGGCCGGGGCTGGAGCGGGGGCTGGAGTCGGGGCGTAGGCGAGAGGAGGAAGTTTCAGCTCCCCTACCGGCAGGAAGACTACTACCCCTTGCCCTCCTTCCCCACTGGACCCCCACCACCCCGATGGGCCCCCCTGATCACCCCCTGGGACTGCGCCCCCCGGACCCCCCCCCCAGGGCCGCCCTGCCTGGAGAGCCCCCCCTGCGCGGCGGGGAAGAGACAACGGGAAGGGGCTACCCTTGGCTTCGACGTGGTTACGATATTGTTCGCGCGTTTGTTCGATCTCACTCACGACGACGACGACGACGAGACAAAGGAGGCTGATACACTTCAGTTTGGGTTGGGCTGGCCTCGCGTCGAAGAGCCTCTCACACACGCCGACCGGGTCGGCGGATTTTTAGCCTTTGGGGGCTCTTACTGGGCCTCGGGACCGTCAAGCATGAAAAATTGGTCCCGGGGAGTTGGTCGATACCTCCTTGGGTCAATCCTGACTTCCCAGGTTTGGGGATCGCGCCGCATCGCCGATGTATCGGCGATGTGGCTCGATGATCCCAATTTTCTCTCAGCCCGACGTCGCCAATGTATCTGCGATGCATTGGCGGGGCGGTGCGGTCCTCCGGTCCGACCTACTCCAAAGCCATCCTGGAAGCATCTACCTGGATCGCCGCGGGGGCTGCTACGGCGATGTTGGGGGTTATTCGTGGATGCTACGGTGGGTCATATGTGACCAAGCCTACTTCAGAAGTGGGTTACATATGCCCCAAGCGGCATAGAAGGGGTTAAGTAAGTGGCTCCGCTAACTGGTCTCCGCCCACTTCGCCCAGATCATGAACCCCCCCTACTCCGCTTATGACCCTTCTAGCCCAATGATGTGTGAACGATGTGCCAGATGTGGCCAGCCATTGCTCACCTTCGCCTGCACTTCTGAATCAGCCCCCCTGGCGCCCTTGGCAACCCCCCCGCCGATCCGAGAAGAGGAGCAGATGGAGTTCCACCGCTGGGGCGCCCGCACGCAGCTGGCGGTCTGGGCGGCGGCGAGCCAGCCCAACTCCTCCGTCTTCCGAGCGGCGGCGCGGAGCGTCCTGCGGAGCCACCAGCTGCGCGCCCTGGCGGGAGACTACATGGCGTGTGGTCCTCCGTGGGAGCCTCAGGGGGTCCCAAGAATCCTGGCGTCCTGGGGGCTGTTGCATGCATTTCGTCGGATTTGGTCGACGTCTGGACGAACGGGCGTAGAGGGGCGGTTGACAACTGGACGAGAGCCGGTCGAAATCATGTTCATGACAGGGCCGCGGAGGTCCACAGAGGCTCTCACGAAGGCTCACCCAGCACATGTCCACGATCCAGTCTACGGGGCCAGGGCTCCTGACGCGGGTGGTGGAGGCGAAGCTGGCAGAGCGCGGGCTGTCCTTGGAGAGTTTTCGGAGCATCAGCAGTGATTGACACAGTCTAAGCTGGAGTAGTGGGTCTGGCGCAGATGGGCCTGCGGCCCGAGATGAAATCGTTAATGGAGCGCGTACTACCGCGAGCAGCAGCACGCAACAAGCGTGAGGTGGGGCACGGACTGTTGCACGGGCAGCGTGACTGCATGTAGAAAGGGATACGCGACTGCATCCAGCGCGCGAGCTTTTGCATCCAGGCATCACCACTTGCTGCGAGTACTGTTGCACCTCTCCCTACGGACCCATTTGCGCCAGACCCATTACTCTTGCTTTAACGCAGCGATGCCCACGCGGGGATCCGCATCCTGAGCATAGACGGGTTCGGTTGCGGGCAGCCCCACAGCGCAAGCAGCCCATGCGAGGAAGCCAGCGTCAGCGAACATTGGTCTCCCTTTAGCGCGCCAGGGCTGCGCCAAAGGGGGTCCAGCACAGCTCGAGAAAATCCGCGCGGACCTCCTACAGTTCAAGTGTCCTTATGCCCCCTGGAACTGCTGAGGAAGCGACTGCCACCAGGCTGGTCCAGCACGAGTTCGCGGGGACGTGGAAGTGGTTGCTGTGCAAGAACGCCTCCGCCGCCGCCTTTCTGGACTTCGCCACGATGCAGGGCTGGCGCGGCGAAGGCTGGTTCCGCCACCTGCGCCGCCAGGCCCTCTGGACTGACTGTGGGCCTCCGAGCGCGGACGCCGAGCCTCGGGGCGCCCTCTGGCCGCTCTTCGCGCCGCCCTATCTTTTTTAGCTGCCTCGACCGCCGGCTCGCTGCGACAGGCTCTGTGCCGTGATCCTCTCGGCGAGTTCAGAGGGCAGGGCTACGCTGGGGTGTGGTTTGGGATCGACACCGCTGGGGCCTGGGGAGCACGGCACGGTCCTCGTCGGGCCTCCTCGGGGCGCGGCGGAGAGCCTTGTCGTGGTCCCTGCCCGCCCCCCATGGGTGCCCCCCCGGGCTGCCGGTTGCAAACCACGCCTTTTGCAAGCGACGCCCTTCGGAGTCGCCGATCCTCGAGCTCATCACCCTCCCGCTCCTGCTGCCAGCCCCCGCCGCACAGCGGGCGGTGGGCGCGGGAGGTGGGCGGCACGCACAAGGGGGGCGGCGCAACAGGGGCGCGGCCTTCCCGGAAGGTGGGGGTGACCTGGACGGGCGGTGGACAGGGATGTGGTGTGGCCCCCGGGGCCAGTAGATATCCATATCAGCCGCCCGCTTCTGCACCAGGACGCCGGGTCCAAGGCGTTGGATGAGCAGAGATCTTCGCCTCGCATGATGGGGGCTTCTCAGATGCGAGCGCGAGCACGCGCTACGGGTGTCATTTCAAAAGGGGGATCACCCGCCCCCCCGGGGGGGCAGGCACCAAAGGTCATTCCTGCGGAGGGGCCTTGTTGCGCGTGGTCGATCTGAGGAGGTCTCTCAGAAGCCGCGGGGGCTTTTAGGGTCATGATGTTCCGACCGACTTGAATCTGGATCACCATGAAGAACTTCGAGCACCAAGAATGCACACCGAAACTGGAGGATTCTCACGTGCCAGGCCCTGTGAGGCGGTAGTCGGTCGAGTCGACACCTCGCCAGCGAGACGGGCAGACACCGTTTCGATACTTTTCCTGGGTGCTCCAAGTTCGTCTTCGGATGCAGTCCTCAAGTGCGAGGGGGAAGGCATAAGTCTGCGGAGCCGTCTGGGGCGACGCACCGCAACCGGGCCTGCCATGCGGGTCGTCGCGGCGCAGGCTTCCCGCGCCAGGCCGCGGCGTGAGCGCGCCTCCCCTCCGCGTGTGCCGTGTGCCGCAGGGACGGCCCGCGGGTATAAGCCGCGGCGTGCGGCCGCCATGCCTTCTCGCACGAGAGAGTGTGTGTTTTCTCTTTCCCTCCCCTCCCCTCCCCTCCCTCCCCTCCCTCCCCCCTCCCCTCCCCCCCTCCCCCCTCCCCCCCAGCCCCCTCCCCTCCCCCCTCCCCCCAGCCCGTAACGCAACGTTTCCGCCCTTCTCGGCGCGCCCCCCGCACTGCCGCAGTGCGTCCGGCACCACAGTCTGGAGCGGGGGGGGCGTTACGTTATATGCCCCCCCCCCCGCTCCCCCTCCCCCACCTCCCTCCGATAACGCCCGATTCGGCCGCACATAAGAACGCTGTAAGGCCCGCCTGATCTCCTAGAAGCACCCCCGCCTTCACAGAAGGCCGTCCTCTTCGCGCTGTCTCCGCTGGGCGCGCCGCCGAGGCGGGGCAGAAGGGGAGGAGTCTCCCGATGAGGGCGTGGTGGTGCCCCTCTGAGCGACGAGAGGGAGCGGGTCTCGCGCGAGATGCCAGGATGGCGACTTTACGCGGTAGCTGACGCGGGCCGCCAGCGCGGCACGCCACATTGGAAGTCCGGGCGCTCACGCGCGAGCTTTGACGGGGGCAGCCCTGCGCGAGCAGGTCCTTGCAGAGGGCGAGGAGCTCCCGCACGAGGACGTGGTGGCGGTGGCCCTTCGAGGCTCCCCGCGCCGTGCCGGGGCCGGCCGCGGCCGCGGCCGCGTCCCAGAAGCGCCCGGCGCGGGACATCGACGAGAAGCAGGCGATTCTTGTGGAGGAGCTCCATTTGAGCAGTGGCGAAGCGTCCTGGCTCGCCTGTTGTCCCACCGGAGAATATTCTGGGAACACGTGTGGCTTGCGCGACAGGTTCTTAGAGCATGTCTGGCTGGGTTTCTTGTTTTAGCGCATCAGATTCACGTTCTAAGAACATGTTTTGGGTTCTTCGAATATTTCTAGGTTCTAAGAGCATTCCGCGGTAGGACTGTAGGAATGCCGGGACGGTCGGTCCCTTCTCAATCCATGGGCAACGTCACCCAATCTCGGGGGAGGCTACATGACCACCGCCTGGGGCATCCATCTCTGGGGGACCCGGCGGGCGGTGGACATGAGATGGATCTGCTTGGGGGGTTTGGGGCCAAACTTTGTCCATAACCCAGGCCATCAATGAAGGACCCCCCCCCCCAGGTGAAACGATAACGCATCCAGCGCCCGGAAGCGTTATCCTGGCAGCCTGAAGAGGAAACGCAGCATGAGTAAGCGCGCGCGGGAAAGCGCGGTGCAGGAGTGGCGGCGTCAGATCACGCGCGGGCTAGGCGACTAGAGCAGCTCACTGTGAGTTCAGCCCAGGAGGCATAATGATTTATTTCTGCGGTCTGGTGCGGTGCAAACATTATCGCTTTGCTAACTCCGCCCCCACGTATTCTTTAACTTCGTTTCGGTGCTAATGATAGCCCATGGGGGTCCTTCGTTGCTGCCCTGGATAATCCACCACCAACTGGGGTCCCAGGACGTCGATTTCCCATGTCTGGATACATCTCCGCCTCGAAAGGCAGCGGGGGTAGGCTCCGGGGGGGTACGCTTTGCCCCAACCGCCAACCCTCCCAGCACCGCGCGGACTTGCGATTCAGGGCCTACCGCCGATCTATCGGCGATGTATCGCTGATTCAAGCTCGACGTTTCCCTCCCTGAGCGAATCCCCCCGTTTACGTTGCTTCCTGTAACGAGCGGAATGCACGTGATAGGACCTCTTTCCCCAAATTGACCTCGTTGTGCGCGGTCTTCGGATGGCGGGGTGGGGGCAGGCCAGCCCAAGTTTGCAGGACGCTGCTGTCGCATCGCGATGGGTCCAGATGTTCAGTTGTGTCTCCAGTACTGGGTCACCAGAAGTCCCGACATTTTCCCCAGGGTTGATTTTTCTTTCATCCGAGGTTGTTTTCCGACGGTTTCGGGCCAGGGGTCGAAAGCGGCGAAAAGCTTCCCGCCCTGATTTTCTTACGACGCGACCATGTCTGGGCCCCCTGCCGCGAGGAAGTCTGAGTTGGCGTCCTGTCCATGGCAGCGTTTGCCCCTCAGAGGACGCCCCCAAGGTGGCGGGGGCGTCGCCGTTCGAGACTGAAGGAAATGGCGTGCGCATGCGGAGGGCTGTGCACGCAGAAGCGCAGATTACGATGATGGTGCTTCGCCTTTCGGGACTGGAAGGAGGACGGGGATGGAAGACGTGGCGTCGAAGGCGACGATGGAAAGGGTTCCACGACGACGTCCATCCTTCGCTGGAAGCAATGACATGCGCAGGCTCAGGGAAGCGTCGTGTCTCCCCCCGCGCCACGGGCGGCCATGCGGCCTCTCGGCCCCCGCCTGCGCGCTCCGCTGGGGCTGGAGCGGGCCCCAGCACCGCCCAGGGCTGGCCGGCGGGCTCGTTATACCGAAGCGGAGTAGGAAGGGGAGGAGGAGGAGGAGGAGGAGGAGCAGCAGGAGGAGGAGGAGGAGGAGGAGGAGAGGAGGAGGAGGGAGGAGGAAGGAGGAGGAAGAGGGAGGAGGGAGGAGGAGGAGGAGGAGGAGGAGGAGGAGGAGGAGGCATAGGAGCAGGAGCAGGAGTAGATGTAAGAGGAGGAGGTAGAGGCGGAGGAGGAGGAGGAGGAGGGAGGAGGAAGAGGAGGAGGAGGAGGAGGAGGAGGAAGGAGGAAGGAGGGGGAGGATGGGCGAGGGGGAGGCGGAGGCAGCAGGGGGCGACGAGCGCAGGCAGGGAGGCTAAGCTGAGGCGAGAATCAGCAGCAGCAACAACAGCAGCAGCGAAGAGGTGGAGGAGCACGAAGTTTCTGGCAGCACATCATGGTGGCCTCGTGTACCCTCGCAATTCTGTCTTTAGAGTGCAGTAGCGCCGTTTAGTGTTTGGTGGTCGATGAGATGGCGCCAATGTAGCATCGATAAGCTTCGATCAGTGCCGATTTCGCGTCGATTAGCATCGAGTGCCGTCGATTAGCGTCTACCTGATTCTAGAAGACCTACATCTGGGGCCAATGCTAAACACCGCTCTCGCTTTCTAGCCACAAGCGTCTATGTACACGTTGGATGCCGTTATGTGCATCGACACGTTCGAGTTGGATACGTCTACAGCCAACGGAGCCGCTGCGGTCGACGCAGTACAAGGTCGGAGACGGGGTAGATCAGTCTACGGCATGCTCCTGTTCTAGCGCAGGTCCAACATGGCACTCCAATTGGGGTGGAGCAGCAGCAGCAGCAGCGAGCAGGTGGAAAAGCAGGAAGTCGATGGATGGCATAAGCATGACTTCTCGGAAGGCCGCGCGGGTTCCTTGCCTCGGCGCTGGGCCCCCCTGGCGGCGCCTCCGGGACCGCCCTCGGCGCGCTCCGCGCGCCAGGGAGGGGGGTCCTGCGCCGATCGGGGAAGTGCACGCCGACCTTCGAGAAATTTGGCTTACACAGCTCAGTGTCCCTTTTTTAGGAAGGCCAAGGCCTCCACCGTATGGAAAGAAAAAAGGCACAGCACGATCGAGGTTATGCGGAGTTTGTTCTTCCCCTGGGCGGCTTTCGCGGGCCGCGGGGCCGTCCGAGAGGCCAGCCTTGGGTCCCCCCTCTCAGTCTCCTGCTCCTCCTGCGCCTCCTCCTGCCCCAATCCTCCCTCGCTCCCTCCGCCGCCTCCTCGCAGGCCTCCTTCCCCTCCTTCCATTCTTGCTCCTGGTCCCCTCCAAACAGCCCTCAAGCTTCCGAAGACCTCCAGAAACCCAAGCATCCCTCCCACGAAAAAACTAGTCTTCTAGAACCCCGACCACATTGTCCTCTTCTCCCTTTGCCCCCTCAACGAGCCCCGCTCCACCACAAACACATGTCTAGCCACGTAGACGGTGGCGCCAATGACATTCCAGGACACCCCACCACAAGCACATAACCACACTCACACATACATACACCCACACACTTTTTGTCGTTGCGGACACGCGCGTGGCGGCGCGGCGTAGGCAGCCGAGTAGGAGAAAGTGCGCGGCCGGACCAGCTCACGTGGCGGGGGGACCAGGGCTCCGCCTCTAGGGGTCCGGCCAGGTCGCTTGCGGTGAGCTGGAGGTGTGCAATTTGAAGGGCAAGGAGGGCGCAGCGCGAACGTGCAACGGAACTCCGAAAGGGCGGAGGGCAGCAGGCAGACGGCCCGACCAGGGCTGACGGTGGGATTGAACTAAGCGCCGAAGAGCGACAGGGCTGTGGCGGGGTAGTGGAGACACGCACACACACATTATGTTGGCGTCGCGTCCTCGCGCGCAGCGTCGCGTACAACGTCGAAGGGCGAGAAGCGGGAACCAAAACACACACACACACAGACACATACACACAGACACACGCGCACGCACGCGCACACGCACGCACACACACAGACACATACACACACAAACACACATATATATATATACACACGCACACGCACACGCACACGCACACGCACACGCACACACACACGCACACACACGCGCACACGCGCACACGCACGTGCACGTACACAACAAAGAAAGCCCGAAGACACCTCAACAGAAATACCTCCGACGACCACCAGGGCACCCTTTCGCGGCGAGAAGAGAGCGGACGGACGACGCCCCTCAACACCTCCGCTGCCTCGCCTGACCGCCGGCCCTTCCTACTATCGAGCAGTGCGAGGCGTCTTGGCTCGCCGATAGGCCGAGCGAAGAGTGTTTCATGAACCTTTCGTGGTTTGCGCGGGATGTGCTTAGAACAGTTGTGGCTGAGACCGTCTTGCTTTGATGCGTCGGGTTCAGATTCTAAGCCAAGCGTTCTTGTTATTAGAACCTTATGCCGAGAAAGTTTCTCGGTATGCATCTGGAAATATGGTGACCGTCGGTCCCTGCTCAGTCTTCCTCCACCAAGCAGGGCCCTAGAGACCAGGGGCATGGAAAACAGGATTGTATACACATCCTAGCGAGAGAGAGAGAGAGGGAAAGAGAGAGAGAGAGAGGTAGAGAAAGAGAGAGAGAGAGAGAGAGAGAGACCGAGAGCGGAGAGTGGAGGATGTTTCGATGATCGCTGCAGGTCCTGGCCCATCAGAAAGTCCCTGTTTACGGGGCCCTGGTCCCTCACCTCAGAGACGCCCACATGGGGTTGAACTATATGAGATCGAGCCGCATCGCCAATGCATCGGCGATGCGGCTCGATGTGGAGCTCGATTTTCTCCACGCCGACGTCGCCGATGTATCGACGATGCTCTGGCGATGCGGCGAGATTATCCATTTCCATCTAGAGTCGACCCGCATAGTAAGGATGGGCAACTTTCCAGAGTTACCCCTGCATCCTTCCCTTTCGGCCCATCCTTGGCCGCTTTCGCGGGCCGCGCCCCGCTCGCAAAGTGTCTCGACATAGCCTTCCAAGGCCCTTGCATCCTCATCGTCAAGCAGTGACGAAGCGTCATGGCGTGCTTATTATAGGCCCGCCAAACAATGTTCTTAGAACATTTCTGCCTAGGACTCTCTTGTCTAGTACATTTGGCTTATGCTCTAAGAGCATTGTCTTTGTTCTTATCGTGCGTCCTTGTTTATACGGGTTGGCTGCACTTGGACCCCAGTCGGGCGGCCCCACTTTGGCCTTGCTGGGCGGGGTCGCCATCCCAGAGGCCCATGCGACACACACCCCAACAACGCCCCGAAGGGCCAGGCCTCGCCTGGGAAACCGGGGGAAGGGAGGAGTGGGCAGGGAGAAGGGAGGAGGATGGAGGAGAAGGAGGACAAGGAGGGAGGAGGAGGGAGAAGGAAGGAGAGGAGGAGGAGAAGGAGGAGGAGGAGGAGGAGGAGGAGGCCCGAGGAGAGGAGGAGGAGGGAGGATGAGGAGGAGGAGGAGGAGGGAGGATGAGGAGGAGGTGGAGGAGGAAGAGGAGGAGGAGGAGGGAGGATGAGGAGGAGGTGGAGGAGGGAGGATGAGGAGGAGGTGGAGGAACAGGCGGATCAGGAGGGAGGAGTAGGAGGAGGAGGAGGAGGAGGAGAAGGAGGAGGAGGAGGAGGAAGAGGAGGAGGACCAGTGTAAACCCAAGAGTCATCAACGATGTTGGAATCAAAACCCACCCTCCACTCCCTCCTGGGGTCTGGGCCCTTCAAGAGCTTTTGAACCCTGGAACCTCTCGGGGCTGCAGGAGCCTTGGGGCACTCCACCACGCGCTGAAAGCACGGTGGGAATGAGGTGCAGTAACTGACTCACGACGTGGACGATGTTTGCTGTTATGCGCGGCCCACCACTCTGCTATGATGGGATGTGGCCTCGGAGCTAAGCGCTCTCCGCGCTGCAAGATGATAGAGCCGAAGTTGCAATGGAACGGATTGAACATAAAATATGCCGAACGTGCCGTAACTTTTCGGCGAATTTGAGCTGGAACTCAACGGCCTTGTGCAGAAAACCCAGACAAGACAAGACAAGACAAGACAAAACAAGAAAAGACACGACACGACAAGACACCACACGACAAGACAAGACACGACAAGACAAGGCAAGACAAGACAAGACAAGGCAAGTCAAGACAAGACAAGACAAGCCACGACACGGCACGACACGACACGACACGACAAGACAATCCACGACAAGACAAGATAAGACAAGACAAGACAAGCCAATACAAGACACGACACGACACGACACGACACGATACGACACGACAAAACACGACACGACAAGACAATACAAGACAAGACAAGGCAAGACAAGGCAATACAAGACAAGACAAGACAAGACAAGACACGAGAAGACGAGGCGAGACGGGACGAGACGAGACGAGACGAGGCGAGGCGAGGCGAGGCGAGGCGAGGCAAGACAAGACAAGACAAGACAACGACCGCGACCACGATCACGACACGACACGACCACGACCACGACCACGACCACGACACGGCACGACACGGCACGGCACGGCACGGCACGGCACGGCACGGCACGGCACGGCACGGCACGGCACGGCACGGCACGGCACGACACGACACGACACGACACGACACGACACGACACGACACGACACGACAAGACAAGACAGGACAGGACAGGACAGGACAGGACAGGACAGGACAGGACAGGACAGGACAGGACAGGACAGGACAGGACAGGACAGGACAGGACAGGACAGGACAAGACAAGACAAGACAAGACACGACACGACACGACAAGACAAGACAAGACAAGACAGGACAGGACAAAACACGACACGACACGACGAGGCCCGAGGAGGAGGAGGAGGAGGGAGGATGAGGAGGAGGTGGAGGAGGAAGAGGAGGAGGAGGAGGGAGGATGAGGAGGAGGTGGAGAAGGAAGAGGAGGAGGAGGAGGAACAGGAGGATCAGGAGGGAGGAGGAGGAGGAGGAGGAGGAGGAGGAGGACCAGTGTAAACCCAAGAGTCATCAACGATGTTGGAAGCAAAACCCACCCTCCACTCCCTCCTGGGGTCTGGGCCCTTCAAGAGCCTCTGAACCCTGGAGCCTCTCGGGGCTGCAGGAGCCTGGGGGCACTCCACCACGCGCCGAAGGCACGGTGGCGGCTTATGCGGGCTGACTGCGCTCGGACCCCAATCGGGCGGCCCCTGTCCCCCACCCATCCTTCATCTCCAGCGCACGGAGCACGTGGCTGTCGGCTTGGGGGGGGGCGCCAGCGCCGGGCCCCCGAGGCCGTCGGCGGACAGCCGGCCTGGGGAGGGATCCTGGGACGGACGGCCGGCCTCTGGGAGGGGCTCCGTTCTGGCCCTGGGCGGCATGGAGCACAGCAGGACGGCGGTGCCTTTTCGGGGCCTTCGGGGCCAGGCTTCGTTTTGACCCTGGGCGGAGGCATGTGCGGCCGTCGGCCTCGGGGGCGCTGCCGCCGGGCCGGGCCCCCGGGGGCCGGCGAACAGCGGCTGCATGGGGACGGGCAGCCCGGGCCGGGGAGGGCCCGTCTTTCTGGCCCTGGGCGGTGGAGAAGGCACCGGCACGGGTGCCCCCGGCCCGTGTTCCCCTTGTGTGGGCCTCGAGCCCGGGCGGCCCTCGTCGCCACCGCTGGGCTCGCCTCGGAGGTCTGGTCAGGGCGCACTTGCAGGAGAGGCGCGGGGAGGGGCGGTATCTGTACCTTCGGGCTTCCCCATGGTTTCTCAGCGAGCCTTGATTTGGGCTGCAGGCTGGGGCTGCGAATTAGCTTCTTTGGGCTGGGGCTGCAGGCTGGGTCTACGTCTGTCTTCTCATCGAGGAGCTACCGTGGACTTCCTGACCTGACTCGCGGACTTCCGCTTCCGTCTGCATTCCCCCCCACCTTCTCCGCTACATCAGTGCCCTGCGCTGAAGAGGGACGGGCGCGCAGGAAGAATGGCTGAGCAGGCCGAGGCGCGGCGTTGCGAGCAGTGCAGTGTTTTTTTGTGGGCACCGCTCCTGTTTCGTGCTCATCCTGCTTTCAGCCCCCTCCTCTGGCTCTCACGACGGGCCAGCGCTGTCCATCCAAGGTTGATCACCGCGGGGGTTGCCAAGGGGATACGTGGCTCTCAAGTGGATGCTCAGGTGGGTTGTATCCGGCCTAACCTAGCCGTTTAGGGAGTATCTTTTGAGTATTTTTCATTTTTCGCCCAAAATCCCCCTGTAGGGGCACAGGCCCGACGTAAACCTAGCCAATCCAAGTGCTGCAAGTGCCCCAAATCGACCTCGCGGCTTCGGTGCCCCTCCGCCGAGTGGGCTCCGCCCCTGGGGGCTTCCCTGGGCCCAGTGTGTGGGGGTGGCCTCGTGGGGCCACCTGTGCCTACAGGGGAACCCTGGACACCAAGATTACACACGGTTCATTCCTAATTCTTCGGAAATTCTTTGACTTGTGGGGGGGGGGCCACCATCCTCTCATTTCTAATTGTTCTATCCTTGGCCTCTTCCTGGCCACTAGGGGGCCAGAAACAATTAGAAACGATCACTAGTTGAAATGAGCACGATTAGAAATGAACGACGTGTACATCTTTGAATGGGATGATTGCTCCTGCCGGCCTTTCGCAGGCTTCCGCCGGCGGAGCCGCCCCCCGAGTTGTTTCCGCAAGCGTCCGCCGCCCCTCCGCCGAGAGAGAGAGAGAGACGCGTCGACTCCTTCGATCATTCGCAGGCGACACTTCTCACGAACGCCGACTGAAGTGTCGAAGCGGCGGAGGGAGGCTGAGGAGAACGTGGATCGGGGGCAACCATAGGGGGGGGGATAGGCATAGGGGTGATGCATCGACCCCCAATCACCCATTGATCGCCGATAGGGGCCCGATAGCCCCCACCTGCACGGGAAGGTGCAGATTCACTATCGGGGGCCTATCGCCGTTATATCGGCGATGTATCGCCGATTCCAGGTCGATGCACACTCCCCTCTTGCCTCTCTGTGGGGGAGAAGCAGGAGGACCACCAATCGCACAAACATCATTTTTCGGAGCTCCTCGCGGCTCTCTTGGACCCGCGCTGGACCCCCCCCCCTCCCGGGCTTGCGGCGCGCGACGAGGGCGGCGCCGGAGGCGCCGCCAGGGGGGCGCAGATCCGAGGAAGCCGCGCGGCCATCTGAGAGCTTCGGTTCATGTCGCGGTGTTTTCAACGGAGCACCTCGGTCTCCGCCTTCCCCTCCTCTCTCCTTTCTTCTCTTGCCTCCTCCTCCTCCTCCTCCTCCTCCTCTTGCCCGGTACTTGGCTTGTTATCGTTTGTCAGCCTGACTTTATCTTGCCGTCCTACGTTTCCTTGCCATCCATGGGGGATGCAAGCTGCGACACAGTCGCCACTTTCCAGGGCTGCTGGGGGGGGGGTCCAGCGAAGTGACGTCCGATTCAGGTCAGAGCAGACCTCGGCCTCCGTGGGGGGTTGCGAACTGCGACGCTGTCGCTACTTTCGGGGGCTGCTGGGGGGTCCAGCGGAGTGACATCCGATTCAGATCAGATGAGACCTCGCCGTCGCTGTGGGCAGGGGGTCAGCGGAGTGTTGTCCTATTCAGATCAGGTGAGAACTCGCCGTCGTTGGGGGATGCCTATCCCTTGGGAGCGCCAGAGAGACATGGCGCTGGCTGCGCTTCTAGTCCAGCGTGCGACAGGAGAACAACGCCACCCCACCTTCCTTTTTAATCCCACTTCCCCTTCTCCTCTTTCCTTCTTGCGCGCGTCTCATGCACATTGCACGACAAATTACGGCGCCCGCGCTGTCGCCGTCCATGCAAATTGGGGTGGTTCCTCGCGTCACTTGGTGCAAATGGGGTGGTTACGTCCCAGGGTAATTTCTTTCTTTGGGGAGGAGGAGACGGCGGCTGCGGGGCGGCAGCGGACGCTGACGCGGACGCTCGGGGCGTGCTCCCGTCGAGCTTCGGGCGCCCAGGCAAGCTGGCCCGAGCCAGCCGGCAAGCAAATTCACAGCAGGCACATCAGATTCTCTGGACGCCCGAAATGGGCACGGAAAGAATGGGTACAATGCCCAACAGCAGTTCCTGTGCATCTTGAACAGGACTCGCTGTCCGCGCCGCCGCGGCCTGTGTCCATTTGAGACAGAAGGCCGCCTGCCCAACAGCGGCCGCTGTTGGCTTGAGACAACATTTGTTGTTGGGCATCGTACCCGTTCTTTCCGTACCCATTTCGGGCGTCCAACGATTCGACATTTGCCCGCACCAGATCATCTCGGGCCACGCTTTCCGTCGACCGACGACGGCCCCCCGGGTGCCCCACATGCTTCTGCGCGCCCCCGGGCCACTGGGGCGCCTGCTGGCAGGCCGCTCTCGCCTGAGGTGCGCCCGCCGGATGGCCCCCGCTCGGCCACGGCACGGCAGCGAGCGGGGATCCCTGCGCCGCCCACGAGCGGCACCCCGGCCGGCTCGGGGTACGCTCTCGCGGGGCCAGGCGCCAGGACCCGACAGGGCGAAGGAGAGCGGGAGCGAGCACGCGGAGCGGGAGCGCAGCCGAAGAAGGGAGGGAGGAGGCCGATCGGCGTAGAGGAAGAGCAGGGAGGCTTCGCAGTGCCCCTGCACCCCGCTCGGCCGAGGTGCTCGCGCGCCCGTCCCAGCCCCCGCTGGCGCGCCCCCGCGCCGCGGCCGCCGGCTGGCAGCTCCCGAACAGCCGCTGCGCATCGGCCGCTTCAGCGGCGCGCCGTAGGGGCGGTCCTCCTCCTCCTGCCCCCTCAAGACGCCAGCCCCCAGCTCCACAGAAGTGCGCAAGCACAACTTCTCGGAGGTCCGCACGGGTTTCTGGGATCGGCGCTGGGGGGACCAGCACCTGGTGCCGACGAGCCTCCTCCTCCTCCTGCCCCTCAGCACGGTAGCCCCCACCTCCACAGAACTGAGCAGGCATAATTTCCTCGGAGGTCCGCGCGGGCTTCTTGGATAGGCGCTCGGTCCCCCATTGTCGGCGCCCCTGGAGCCACCCCTTACGCGCTCCGCGCGCGACTGAGGGGGAGCCAACTGCCGATCCAAGAACTCTGCGCGGACCTCCAAGAAACTATGTTTATGCAGTTGTTGTTCCTTCATCCTCCGTCTCCCCTCCCCCTCAGGAGGATCTGTCCTCCTCGTCCTCAACAGGGCCTCCTCGTCAGGGGGATCTCCTCCTGCTCCTCCTCCTCCTCCTCCTCCTCCTCCTCCTCCTTAGGAGAATCCTCCTGAGGACGACCTCTGCCCCATCGCCCTCCGGAGGAACACTTGAGGAAGACCGCATCCTCCTTCTCGGGACGATCTCTGCTTCATCGCCCCCACCAAGAGCTCTACTCCTCGAGCGGATATCCTCAGGAGGACCACTTCCTCGGCACGGCCTGCGTCACGGGGGGCAGCGACGGCTAGTGAGACACGAGCGGGTACCTCGGCGGAAGAGCAGGGCGCAATCTCGAAGGAGGAAGCGGAGGAGGAAGAGGAGGAGGAGGAGGAGGAGGAAGAGGCGGAGGAGGAGGAGGAGGATGAGGAGGAGGAGGAGGAGGTGGGGCAGGAGGAGGGGCAGGAGGAGGAGGAGGAGGAGCATCTCACTAGTCCGCTCGTCCTTCCCCTCTCGGGGGTCTCTCGCACTCTTTTTTTTTTTTTTGTTTTCTCTCTCTCTCTCTCTCTCGTCAATACGAACCTCATCCAACGCCGCCGCTCCGAGCAGACGCGGCCCTCGGCGCGTCATTGCGAGGGGCCGCGGAGGGCCTTCTGTACGGCGGCCATGAGAGCTCCTCCAACAGTAGAGACTGGGGGTTGTCACGTGCGACGGCCTTGCTCTTCCTTCTCCTCCTGCTCCACCTCCACCTCGTCCATTTCCTCCCATCATAATCGCCATCGTCATCATCATCAGCAGCATTATCCTCCTATTTCTCCTCATCATCATCAGCAGCAGCATCATCACCAAAACCAACATCATCAGCATCATCATTGTTATCATCCTCGTCCTCGTCCTCACCCTCATCAGCATCCTCATCAGCATTAGCACCATCTCCATCATCATCAGCAGCATCATCATCATCATCATCATCAGCATCATCATCAGCATCATCATCAGCATCACCACCACCATCATCATCATCAGCACCATCATCATCATCATCATCATCATCATCATCATCTTCATCATCATCATCAGCATCATCATCATCATCATTATCATCATCGTCATCACCATTGGCATCATTATCATCACGGCTTCTCCAAGCGCGAAGATTCGAGATCGTATAGGTTTCCGCTACCAGTGCTCCCTCGAAGAGCAGCAACGCATAATGCTGGAGGAAGAGGAGGATGCGATGATCAGGGGCAGCGACCGCGGGCTTTGAAAGGCGGGCGCGGGGCAGGGGTTCGGATTCCAGGTTCGCCCGTGTAGGTTCTCACATTGCCCTCCGTTGCCTACGCTTTTGCTTGCATGCGACACTGCTTGCATCCTTCACTGCTGACTGCGACGGTGAGGGGGGGGCGCCTGGCACAGCCGGGGGGCGCCTCGACCCCCCATCATCCATCCCTCGGGGCCTGTGTGCCCAAGCCTGCACAGGCCTCTTGGGCTTCGATCTCGGAGTGCCTAGCGTTGATCTATGGGCGATGCATCTCCGATTCGAGATCATTGGTCTCCCCCCTGAGCCTGTCCCCCAACCCTCATCATTGCTTTCAGGTTATGGAGGAGGAGGAGGAGGAGGAGGAGGAGGAGGAGGCCACCATGAAGGACAATGGGTCCTGAGGGACACAAGTCCTGGCGGGTTTTGTAAACAGTTTTCGTTCGCTGAGGCCCTCCCAGGACCCCGTGATCGTGGCGAAACGACGCCTGATGACACGTTGGTCTTGGGAAACGGCCCTGGGCCCAGGGTGGCCGAATTGCGCATTCCGCAGAGTGTCGTCGCCGCCGCCGCCGCCGCCGTCGTCGTCATCGTCGTCGTCGTCGTCGGCGGCGGCGGCGGCGGCGTCTTCGTTCGAAGAGTGGCAACGCAACCTGACCTGCCAACAGGCCCGCCAGCGAATATCAAAGAATTCTGGTATGGTCTCCACGAATTTGTCTTTGGACATTTCTGGCTGATCGTGTCTTGTTTCAAGTAATCAGTTTTATGTTATCAGAACAGGTTTGTTTTTCTTCGAGCATCCTGTTGGTTCTAAAAAACATTGTTGTAGGCGTATGGGAATGCTGGGGTTGTCGGTCCCTTCTGAATTGGCCGTTGTCCGACCAACCTTTTTTGGGGAAAAAATAGCATTCATATTGACTTTCGGAGGTCCGCGCGGATCTCTAGGATCGGCGTTGGAGCCCCTTGGCGGCGCCTCCGGCGCCGCCCCTGGCGCGCTCCGCGCACCAGATATGGCGCCCACCGCGGACTACCGACAGTTTATGTTCATGCATTTGTTTTTCGCGTCTGAGACGTTCAACGACTTCAGACAAATATCTAAGGTTGCCCGTGCTTGGCGGCGTTCGGCATGCGAGGGCCGTTGCATGGCAAGTGGGCCGTCGAAAGACGGCTGGAGAGAAATTGGCCCAGAGGCAAGACTCAAGACTTCCAGGGATCCCGCATGGAAGACGTCAAGACATCGGATGTCCCAGTCGGCGGCGGACGTCCTCGTGGCCGTCCGTCCAGCGCCTGCAACATCATACCCTGGACCCTCTCCTGGCCCATCCTGGCCGGTCTTCCCAGCCTACGCCAGGCCCACTCCCAGAGGCCCTCCGAAACGAAGACGCCGACGCCGCCGGCGTCGACGCCGACGTTTCTGGCGTCGGCCGATCGGCCTGCCTGCCGGCGCCCCCGTGGCGGCTCAGGCGCGGCCGCCCGCGGGGTCTCAGCTGTGGTCGACGACGTCACCGCCGTCGCTGTCGACGGCACCGCCGCAGCCGCCAGCGCCGCCGCCGCCGCTGGTTGCGATCGGCGCCGCCGCCGCGCCGCTGCCCAGGGACGTGCGGTGTCCCGATGTGCACGCGGCCCCCAGAAGTCCAGACTTGCTTCGCCCCGGCTCTGCTTCTTCATCCCGAGCCGTGCCCTGACGGCCCGTGGGGGCCCAGCGGCGCGAGGGCCCCCACGGGCCCCGAGCGAAGCACTGCCTCCCGTGTTGACGCTTCGGGGTGCGAGCCTGCTCGGGCGGGGCCAGGACGAGGCTGAATCTGTTCCAGAGAGTCCTGGAGTGCTCCCAGAGCGTCCAGGAACGCTCTGAGAGGGCCGCGGCGCCCGGTGCATCTTCCAGAGCCGCCGCCTCTCAGAGGTTCTCGATTCTTATGTCTACCCGATGTTTTTCCCTTCCTGGTTTCGTCTTACATCCTCGTCTGGACCCCTTCCCCGGGACCAGCCCGGAGAGGGCCCCGTGCCCATGCGCCGATGGGCATCGCGACCGCGCCGCCCGCGCTGCAGCGCGTCCACTCTGGCAGCGTGGCCAGTGCCAGAAGATCTGGGCCATCTTGGCGCATGTTGCGTCATCGTCGCGGGGATGTGTTGTGAAAATGAGTCGCCGCGCTGGTTGTTCCGGCGCGTGGCCGTGCGTCTTGAGGAGGGCGTCGCTGCCACCAGCGCAAACTCCGCCTCGGGCGCAGGGCTTGCCGTGGGGGTTGCCGCGGTGGCGGCTTCATCTACCTGGAGCGCGGGACGCAGGGTTTGTCATGGTTTTGCCGTGGTGTCGGCGTTGTCCACGTGGGTGGGTCGAGAACGAACGGCGAGGCAACATGTGTGAAATGATAGGAGATGGAGGGGAAGCGGAAAAGCGGGGAAAGATCAGGAAATATTGAGAATATTTGGGTTTGTGTCCAATTGCGCATCTTGGTCTCATTAGGCCTTTGAAAAGACACGAAGCCAAACCATGAAGCTGAATGTGCATGGACTGTTCCCTGCGCCGATGGTGATCAAATCTAGTTATGTGAATTTCTCGTTGAGGTTCACGAATGCTTCCTCGTCTTGGGCAAATCTAGAGTCACCTGCATTGCCTGCAATCAGCACGCACTTGGAGCTGTCAGATCATAATGTTCCAGCTGGCTCAGACAATAAATCCCAACACCAAGGAAGTACCGAAACTGGAGGGTCTTCACGTGTCGAGCTCCGGGAGGCAACATTCGCTCAACACTTCGCCAGCGTGTCGGGCAAACGTTGTTTAGATTCTTCTCTGGGTGCTGGACAGCATGACGATCGCACTTGAGTGCCATGGGCGACGGGAACAACATAACTGTAGGACCCCTCCTCTTCATAACAGTGGACGTCTTCGGTAGCAAATCATGGGAGTCTAGTATACCCTCTGCATTCCGTCTTTAGTGTCGATTGGCGTCGATTGGCGTTGGGAAGTCGACGAGCCAGCGCCGATTCAGCGTCGAGTTAGCGTCGATGAGCGTCGACTTCGCGTCGACGAGCGCCGATTCGCAAGAGCCGACAAGATGGTCCGGGAGGCGCCCATGCGTTGCCACCGAAACCACAACTGTAGGACCCGTCGTGGGTCGGGTCCTGCCAGGGCTGCCCGCAGACAGCGCCCGCCCCGCCCTGCCCTGGGGGGTGCCAGGCAGGACTGATGGGGGTCCGCAGGTGGTCGCAGGGCACTCGCCCAGCCTGTGAGCGCGGGGGAAAAAAGCAGCTGCAGGAGCCCCCCCCTCGTCCAGAGCAGCGGACGCTCGGAGCGACGGCGCACGCCGCTCGCTCGACCCGCCGCTGCCCGTGCGCCCGCCCGCTCGGCACCGAACGAGCGCGCGCCGCCGCCCTCGCACACCGCGGCGCGCCGCCGCCCGCCGCGCGGGGGGCGGGGCCGCGAGGCGCGGCCGCCCCGCTCCCAGTTCCTGCAGCGGCGCCCGGACCAGGAGCAGCGGGAGGAGGAGGAGCAGGGGGAGGAGGGGGAGGAGGAGGAGGAGGAGGAGGAGGGGAGGAGGAGGAGAGGAGGAGAGAGAGGAGAGGAGGAGGAGAGGGGGAGGAGGGGGAGGAGCATCGGGAGGAGGGAGGAGGAGGAGGAGGAGGAGGAGGAGGAGGAGGAGGAGGAGGAGGAGGAGGAGGGAGGAGGAGGAGAGGAGGAGGAGGAGGAGGAGGAGGAGGAGGAGGAGGAGGAGGAGGAGGAGGAGGAGGAGGGGAGGAGAGGAGGGGGAGGAGGAGAGGAGGAGGAGGGAGGAGGGAGCATTTGGAAGGAGGAGGAGGAGAGGAGGAGGAGGAGGTGCTGGAGGAGCATCAGGAGGAGGGAGGGAGGAGGAGGGAGGAAAGGGGAGGGGGAGGGGGGGAGGGAGGAGGGCGGGGGAGGGGGGAGGAGGAGGAGGCCTACATCGAAGATGAGAAAACGCCATCAAAAAAACAACTGTTGTCGATCCGCACTTGTTTTTTGGATCGGCGCCTGGGGCCCCCGCTGGCGGCGCCTCCGGCGCCGCCCCTGGCGCGCTCCGCGCGCCAGGGAGGGGGCCCCAGCTCAGATCCGAGAAAAACCGTGCGGAGCGCCAACAGTTTGTGTTCATGATGTTTTGTTTGGTTTCTATTCAATCCATCCGCATAGTAAGAATGAGCAGCTTTCCAAGATTACCCCTGCATCCTTCCTCTTCGGCCCATCCTGGGCCGCTTTCGCTGGCCGCGCCCCGCTCGCAGAGTGGCGACATGATCTTCCAAGGCCCCTGCATCCTCATCGTGCATCCTCATCTCACGGGCTAATTGTAGATCGGAATCCTTGAGACGGGGGGTTCATGCAAACGGGGGTCAATGCAAACGGGGATCAGCCAGAGCGCTGGATCTTGAAGGATCCTGCAGGGCCAGGGCTGGATGGACTCGGGCTTGAGCGAAGGATCCTGCATGAGCCCGCAAAGCCTGACTGACCGGGGTTTGCGTTGACCTGGGTCTGTGCGTCCCCGACCGAAGGTGGACACCAGCACCGATATCCCAGAAGTGGACAAGATACCCCTACCTCTGCACTTCGCTCGTTTTCGCCTCTCGTGCCTCCCGGGAGGGTCTCGTCGCCACGGCTGGATTCGCCTTGAAGTTCTGGTCAGCATGCATTCCGGGAGACGCCCAGGGAATAGCGGCATTGGCTTTTTGGGGAGGTCTTCCCTAATCTCGAGGGGAGATGAGTTTGCCTGCAGTGATGGTGGTAACATGCCTGGCCGGAACACCATGCCCACCACGTGATCGTTTTCTTATTCAGTGTTTCGCCGATTGGCGCGGGCCCTCTCCCCCCTCTCCCCCCCCCATGGAGTAGATCTTGGCTGTTTTGGGCGCCTGTTTCCGAAAAGGTGGAGTCTCCCCCATGGGAAGCATGGTTGCAACCAGTCGCGCTAAGCAGCGGTCCGGCCAGCCAGACCCCCCCCATCCCCACCCCCCTTTCCGCTCAAATGTCGCAACGCCGATTCTCAGCCACGCGCAGAGGGAGGTGGGGGGAGGGGGGAGGGCTTCTTAGAAGCACCCCTGCTTCTTAGAAGGCGCGGGCCTTCTCTATAGATGTAAGGCCAGCGCCTTCTAAGAAGCAGCCTCCTTCTAAGAAGCCCTCCCCCCTACACCTACCCCTTTGTGCGCGCCGCCAAAATTCAGAAAGCGCTCACCACCAGAACGTGGAGGGCTGCAGGAGGAGGAGGAGGAAGAGGGGGAGGAGGAGGAGGAGGAGGAGGAGGAGGAGGAGGAGGAGGAGGAGGAGGAGGGAGGAGGAGGAGGAGGAAGAGGGGGGAGGAGGAGGAGGAGGAGAGGAAGAGGAGGCGAAGGAGGAGGAGGAGGAGGAGGAGGAGGAGAAGGCAGCCCTCTGTGTTGGTGTTGGCGCCCAGCTGCCAGCGCCCCGAGGAGCAGGCCGCCCCGGCGGGCGGCGAGGCCGCCGCCCGGAGAGCCGCCGGCCGCTGGCCGCTGGCCGCCGCCGGCTGCCACCGTCGACGACGGCCCGATCCTCGGTGTTGTTCGGGTATGGCCAGGACCCCGCCCAGATGATGCGCTACCGAAGATTTTCGGTAGCGAGTTTGCATGATGGGGAGCGACCGAAGATCAAAACGAGTGGTCCAATCCCGGTATTGCAAGACGAAGTGCGCGTGATGCCGATACTGGGATTCAGATTCGGGATCCTCGGTGTTGAATTCGGGTATGGCCAGGACCCCGTGGGAAGGGGACCCGGTCAGTGGCAGGGCCCTGGGGGCCGCCTCTAAAGTCCGGATCGCCTCAAGAATCTTTGACTTTCGATGAACCGCTTTATCCCAATTCGGATCGAGCGCGACGGCTCTGTCGACTGCGCAGATCCCATGCTCGAGCACGTCAAGCTCCTTTCCCAACTCGAGATATGCAGTGGCAGGGCCCCGGAGTCTTTGGACTGGCCAGAATCACGAAGCCAGGTTTGCCACAGCCGGTGTTTTTTCGGGTGGCGGCAGTTCCGGTGAAGTGGCAATGGGACGGGGGGGCGCCCCCGGTACAGATCACTAAACCAGGTTCCACTAAACCCAGTTCTGCCAACGCCCGAGTTGTGCACTCAGTGCACGCGTGCCGCTTACGTTTGAATCGGGCATGTCCCGCTACAGGAGGAGTGTCCAAAAACAGTCAGAACACTGTGTTTTTTGTTATAAACATGCGTTTTTTTTTGTTCTCTCTTTCTCTCTATATATATATATGTTGTTTGGGGGGATTCTAATCTGTTGACCGAAATCCGCTTGTAGGGGGATAAGCCCGACCGAAGCTGAACTGTTTCCGACAGCTGTCCGACAAGGGCCGCCCCCCTCGCGCCGCCCGTCGGGCCCCTCTGGATCGACGGAGGATCCCATCGGTCGGTATCGTTCAACCGATCCCCATCCCCCATCCCCATCCCCTTCGAGACCCCCACCAAATTACCACCCCAGTGGAGGATACACTCCTCGATGCCCACAAGGGAACGACCTACATGCCCATCTAGAGGGGTAAATCGGCCAGTGGGGCCCAGGCCACGCCGCTGGGGATGGGGATCGGTTAAACGATAAATCGGGCACCCAAGATGATTGCCCAATATGACCTTTCGAAGAAGAAAAAAACACATTAACATAAACTGTTGGCCCTCTGCGCAGATTTCTTGGATCCGCGCCTGGTCCCCCCTGGCGGCGCCTCCGGCGCCGTCCCTGGCGCGCTCCGCGCGCCAGGGAGGGGTGTCCGGCGCGGAACCAAGAAATCCGCACGGAGCGCCAAACGATTATTTACACACACACACACACACATATATATATATATGTATATATGTATTTATTGTTATTTTTCTTCTTCTACTCTTGGGCGGCCCCAGTGGCTGACAAGGACGCCAAGATTGTCCAATGTTCAGTTGCCTGCAGCAAGTTCCGCCTTCGTGCCAGCCCAGCACTTTGGTGGTGCTTCTCGATCCTGGACCCCATCGGGCCCCTGAGACGATCCAGGATCCGGGGTGGATACAGGACCGCCGCTGGCCGCCTTACCGGCTGGTGAGGCTTCGAGCGGCGCAAAGGCAGCCCCCCCAGGTAGGCTACGGTAGGCTTCAGTCGGTAATGTCTTTTTACAGGAGGAGTTTTCAAGAATGGTTTGTCGGTGACGATATTTCGATTATGTTTGGACTATGTTTGTTTTTTCGTTGGACTATTTGTTAAGGTTATTCCAAAGTCTGCCTGTAGGAGGACATACCCGATCGAAAGGCAGACCCAGCTGGCCTCCAATGGCCACCCGAGCTTAGTCCCAGCTGGCCATGGGGGCCGTCTCAACACACTGGCGCCGCCCCCGGCGGCACCCCAGGGGCGCTCCAGGGGCGCGAAGTGTTGGCCCAGGGGGGGACCATGCACGGGGGGCAGCGAGGGCTGCAGAGAAGGGGGCCGTCAGAGCTCTGTAGGGCCCCAGAAGGGGTCTTCAGGGCCCGAAGCGGACACCTGTCTTCCCCCCCTATGTATATATATATATGTGTATATATACACATGGATATATATATATACACACATATATATACATATATATTGATAACACGACTTGCGGCCCCGCCGCCGGGCGTGTCCCTCTCGACGCGCTGGCCGGGGGCGCGGAGTTTCGCGAGGCCCCTCCCCGCAGGCCCCCGTCCGCCTGGCCCGACGGGGGGGCCCGCCGGGGGCCACCGGCGAGGACGGAGGCGTCGTCGTCGTCGTCGTCGTCGTCGTCGTCGTCGTCCACAGCGCCGCGGGGCAGAAGTCGGGGCCAGGCCCCTCCCTGTCGTCTGCTCCCCTGCGTGCGGCCCCCCTCGTCGTCGGTTGCTCCCTGCCCTCCCCTCCGCGCCCTCCGATTCCCTCCCTCGTCGTCCCTCTCCTCCTGCACCTCTTGGCGCGGTGTCCTCCCCGTTGCCCCCGCGTCGTCGTCTTGCCCGTTGCCCCCCTCCACGTCTTGTTGCGTTGGTGCAGTGGCCGTCAGCACGTCGCGCCCGCACTCCCCCTCCTGGTCATCGTCGTCGTGCTTCACTCCTCCTCCTCCTCCTCCTCCTCCTCCTCCTCCAGCTCCTCCTCCTCTCCTCCTCCTTCCCCTTTCGTCAGGCGTCCACCCTCCGCCTTTCCTGGACGAGCGCGGGCCATTCCCATGCCGACGCTGATCGAGCGAGGCGCCTCCCCTTCGCCCACCCCCCACATCCCACTTCCCACGCCACCTCGTCGTCCTCCCTCCGCCCCCCTTCTCGTCGTCCTCCCTCACTGCCTCCCTCTCCTTTTTCCATCCACGTCGTGACGTTCGGAGAGCCAACTCCCCCCCCCCCCCCCCCGAGTATGGAATTTTCAGCCGTGGTGTATCTTGGGCTCAGGGCCTTTTGGAGGCTCCCGAGGCCGCGGGGGTGCGTCGACGAGCTCGAGCCTCTCCCCACCCCCCGAAGAATGGCATTTTGCATCCCCGATGGAGGGAAGAGAGGGAGGGCGACAGCCAGGTGCCTCACACGCCTTCCCCCCCCCATCCCCACGGCAGGCGGGGGGGGGGTCGGCGGAGGCAGTCTCTCTGAGTCTCTCGTCTCTCTCGCGAGGCCCCCCCGCCCTCTCGAAAGGCTGCCCCCCGCCGCGCGCGCCGCCAGCTTTCCCGGGGTTCTCTTCCAGTGGGGGCCCATCGTCGGGTGTTGCTAGAAGTACCCCTGGCCCAAGGGAGTGCTCTAATAGGAGCGAAAAGCTGGGGACACCTTGGGCCAGGGGCACTTCAAGCAACACCCGACATCGGGCCTCAAGAGACGGTGGTCAAGGCAAACGGGGGTCAGCCAGAGCGCCGGATCTTGCAGGATCCTGCAAAGCCAGGGTCGTGTTGACCCGGGTTGGGTGCCGGGATCTTGCAGGATTTTGTTGGATCTTGCAGGGCCAGGGTCGCATTGACCCGGGCTTGGGCGCAGGATCCTGGAGGATCCTGCAGGATCTTGCAAGGCTTGACTGACCCGGGTCTGGATTGACCCGGGTGAGCAGATGCCCGAGCCCAGATGGCCTCCAGCGCCCGCTCGCGAGGCTTGAAGCCATCGAAGACAAGAGAGCCCCCTAACCCTAATCACACGATGAAGACATGGCCTCACAGGTAGCAAACTAATTCTCGCGTTTCGTGCGGGGAGAGGGCGCGGTGGCTGCCCCCCCCCCCCAGAAGCGCAAAGCCTTCGATCGTCGCTGCTCCCCCGCCTTCTCCTCGATCCTCGATGCTGCCCCGCTCCAGGTCTCTGTCGATCCGGTCCACCCAGTCCGATATCGATTCCGGCCGGCGGCTCGACCCGATTCGATTCCAATTGCCCAGCGATCCGATGCGGCCCAGTGTTGGCATGGCTGTGTCGTGCATCTTGGCGCGGCCGATCCGATCCGCGTTCGGCTCCGTTCCGAGGCGCCCCGATCTGGCGCTCAGGCCGCTCGGTCCGGCTCCCCGAGTCGATGCCAACTGCTTTTCTTTGCCCCTCTTCCTCGGCCTGTGGCCCGTGCCTCTGCTGCTGCCCGCCTCCCCGGGTACCGCGCGAGCACCAGGCCGTGGACAGAGCCTGGCCCCCCCGGGCCGGGTCCTCGCGCGGCCGCGCCCTGCCCCCCCCCCCCCCCCGGGGGGCTGGGACGCCAGCGGGGGCACGGAGCGAGCCTCGATCTGCCGACGGACACGGCGCGGCGACGGCCCGATCCCCATCCCTCGATGCTCCGAGCCTCCGGCCCTCGATATGCCCTCGATTGGACGGCGCGCGCGCGCGAGGAGGGGCGGGGTGGGGGGTCGTCTTGCAAGGAGGCGGCGGGCGGGTGTCTGAGGAGGAGCCCTCCTGGCTTCTGAGAGCCTCTAAGAGGTCTCCATCTGCTCCGACGGTCGGACCCCGCACGGGAATGCCCCAAACTGGTCTGGACGTGATCCGCGCTGTCGCCCCTTGTGACGGCGGAGGCTTTTTGTTCCCGTCTTCTCATCGCCCTTCCCCTGGTCGCCCTGGCGTAGGCCTTTCTCTCGCCCCCCTGCTCTGCCGTCTCCCTTTCTTACTGCCCCGTCTCCCCTGAATGTCCACCTCCTCACCCGTCCTTTTTGCAAGGGCGCACGCGACGATGTTCCTTAGCGCCGTCGCCGCCTCGGCCGGCGGTGGCGCGTTTTCCGATGGCCAGCTAGCGAAACCGTTGGGATTCCGATGGCCGCTTGGGATTCATGACAGAAAACGCGGGCCCCATAGGGAGGGGGCCTCACGTTCGAGAAGTCCTCGCGATTCAGTCACAGGCGAGGGTCTCGCTGGAGACGTCCTCAGGCTTCAGGTTCCCATTACAAGATGCCTGGGATTGTTTACTTGAGGTGCTCGCCCCATCGGGGAGGGGGCTCCCGCTCGAGACCTCGTGGCGATTCATTCACGGGCTAAGCTCTCGCTCGAGAGTTCTTCCAGGTCCGTTCTTGAGGAACCCAGAACCGACGACAGCTACGGGATCTGGATAGCTCCTTCGGCTTCCAGCATGGAGTTGGGGGCCTCCTGGGGAGGGCTTCCGCCCGAGGTTTTCTTTCCGAGTCACTCACAGACGAAGCTCCTGCCCGAGGAGTCTGGCAGGTTCGGGCCCGAGGGGCCAAATCGCGGCGACAAGCACATGGTCTGTATGACCCCTTTGGATTCGAACAGGGAGGCGGGGACCCTGTGAAGAGGGCCTCCCCCCGCTCGAGAGCTCCTCCTGATTCAGGCTGGAGGAGTTCAAAATGGACGACGGTGACAGAATCTGGATGACCCGTCCGGGTTCGAACATGGATCCGAGGATCCCGTAAAGAGGGGTTCCTTTTCGAGTTTTCCTCCATGTTCAGGCCTGAAGCGTCCAAACTGGTCGACGGTTACAGGATTTGGGCGACCCGTTCAGATTCGAACAGGGAGGCGGGGACCTTGTCGGGAGGGGGCTCCCGCTCGAGACTTTCTCACGAAGGACTCGCAGACGTAGCTTGCGCGAGATTTTCCCAAGAAGAGTGTGAGACTGTGTTCAAGTGCGAACGAGTGTGTGCGACGATGATGCTGCTGATGATGGAGATGGCTTGGCTGGACTGCTGACCATACGTCTTGTTTTGGCCCGGAAATCCCGTTCATTCGAGCTCGGTGTGTTTTCCCATCCCTCGACACATGAATATGCATGTTCTCATTCGCTTGTGGAGTGAATATTCGTTTGTCCACCCAAAAACCGAGTTAGCCTTTTCACACCCCCTTGAATCATTAATGTTCAGCTGCCCACACCCCAAGATTGAATATAAATTTGCACACACACACACACCCTGACAAGATAAACTGAGAGTTCGGGGTCTGCTAATTCACGCGACGAGCCGCTAACATGAATATATATATATATATATATTGCCCCCCACACACACCGAACACATGAATGGGAAGTTGGGGTATGGGGTCAATGTTGTCAAGGCGGTGAAACATTTCATGTGTTATTGAGGGACAAGGAAGATTCATCTGTCGGGGTCGGAAAAGGAATCGTTCATTTTGTCAGGAGGGTGAGAAATTGAATGTTCATGTTGACGGCTCGCAAAGCAAACCGTTCAGATGAACCAGGGGCTTTCCTCCGAACGGGGGGAGATGAGCCACGTGTATCCGAACGGGGGAGATATGAACTTAAAATCCCCGCTCCACAGAAAGACCCCTTGCAAAAGGTCGTCACTACATTCAAAAGGTGATACATGATACGATGATGATGGCTATGGTGGTAGTAGCGATGTTGATCATGATGATGAGGTTGTTGATGGTGATGATGGTGGCCAGTGATCATGACGGGATCGTGACCGTGATTTTGATGGCGGTGTGATGAGGGGCATGTGCAGGAGAAGATGCAGAGGGGTGGGGGGGAGGTTGGGAGGACTGCGCGGGGTGTCCAGAGGAATCCCGGAACTCTCATGCAGGACTGCGCGGGACGGTGGCCCCCTGCCTTCCGAGAACCCCCCCCTCCGCCCTTCTCAGAAGGCCGCCCCCCGGGCACCACCCCCCTCGTGCGCGCCGCCTGGCGCTCGTAGATCCTCGACCTCGCCTCGACCCGGGATCCTCGATCCCGCCTCGACTCCTGGATCCTCGACTCTGAATCCCGCGAGACTGTGTTTTGATCCTCTGTTGCGCAGCGGCTGCTTCGCGGGCCACCCTGTCGCCCCACCCCGCCCGCGCGTGCCCGTTTCCTGGGCCCTTTTTTTGTAGGGTAGCGACCTTTACAGGACATAACCCAGAACGATTGTCGTTCCGATTCTCGATCCTGGTTTGATCCTCGATATGATGCAGTTTTTCTTTGATTCTTGCAAGTTTATTTGCATCGAGGGGGGGGCGAGGCCCGAAAGGAGATTTGGACTGCCTGAATTTATGAACCCACTTGCACACTGTGTCCGCCCAGCGCTGTTTGAAATGGCGATGGAGTGTGGGGCGGCGAGGCGCCATGCAAGCAAACATGCGAAAATCTCAGCAGAAGCGAAGCACGCCCTCCTTTATCCTCGATCCGCCTCGATCCTCGAGATCCTCGATCCCACCTCGATCCCGTCTCGATCCTTTATCCTGTGTCGATTCTCTGTCCCGCCTCGATCCTCCATCCCCCCCTGGAAGGCGGCCGGCGCGCCCGCCGCTGCCGGCGGCGGCGAGAAGCAGGGCGCGCAGCAGCCGCAGGCCTACGCCGCCGCCGGCCCATCCGCCGGCTCTGGGGGCCCTCGGCGGCTCCGACACGGGAAGCGGCCCGGATGGGGCAGAAAGGACGAGAAAGATGGAGGGGATGAGGCGGGGGGGAGTCTGTAGCCATGCTGGCTCAAGGAAGCCGCGATCGCCCGATCCCGTCCCTTTTGCCCCGCATGGGGGGGCCGAGGCGGCGGCCAGCGTGGCCAGCACATCTCGCAGGCCCGCGATACCAACTCCAGCTCTCATCGCGACCGACACCGGCTGCGCCTACAACCACAGTCGCAACAACGATATCAAGTGACGATTGGTCCCGCAGCCCCGCCTGACATGGGCGACCACGTCAACGACGTGCTGACGCCCGAGTTCTGCTACGGCCACACAATGCACGAGACCAATTTCAAGCACATCACAGTGGCCAGCGACAACTGCGGCATCCACCTGAAGCTGCAGCTATGGCGGCGCCATGGGGATCAACCGCGGGCGGCTCAGCTACTGCGCCGCCGCCCAGGAGAGGAACCTCGGTCACACTCCAAGCAGGGGGTTTTCGATCCAACCCACGACACACGCGGCCGGAGCTGACCTCAACCTGTGGAAGAGCGATAAAAGGGTTGCGAATTGGGAGATCGTGCGCCCCAGCACATACTGGAGCTGGGGCTCCAACGGAAGGGGCATCAAAGGCACGACTGGCAAGGGAAATGGCATGTCCCCCAAGCCGCGCGACGTCGACATCTGGGACAGCAACCGCCAACCGAAGCATGTCGGCCGCCAGACCGAGTGCACCAGCCACCCGCCCCTTCATCATCCAGACCATCGCCCTGTTGCGGGAAGCTCCTACACCGACGGACGCCGCTGGAAGGCTCCCCCGGCCATCCCACATTCTCCACCAGACAGCAGTCGCACCAACGAAGCCACCACCCGCTCACATGGACACAGCACCAGGCAACGCCGAGCCACCTCAGGCGGACATCCTGTCCCCGACAAAAGACAACAGGAGCCTTGGACCGGGGGATGAGCGCCCATGGCAGGCAATAGGCCAGCAAGCTCTCCCAGCCAGACCTCCCAACCAAAGCCTTCACCTCCAGGCCATGACGGAAGATCTGCAGCCAACGCAGCTCCTTCAATTGCGACAGCCGAGGTTCCATACAATCCACTGCCAGCCAAGGCGGCGCCATGGCCTCCGACGACCATGCACACCGCTACCGTCCAAGAAGGGGCGGTAGTAGCTCCGGCCCAGGAGCCCCGCATCGGCATCATATGAGCTTGTTTTTTTATTCAGGCAAGTTTACTTGCATGGCGTTCGCCCCCCCCGCCCCCCCTCGCCCCTCTTCAAGCGAATACTAGCGTGCAATGCCTTTCGACTTGCGTGATTTCCGCGCCCCCCCCCCCGGGCTTGCTTCAGGCTCAGCCCCCCCCTCGTCCATGCAAGTAAATTTGCCAGAGCCTAAAAAAAACAGGCTCTATCAGGCACCGTTGGCCCCGACAAACAGCACGACGCCACTGGCCGCCTGACCGAAGCGATCAGTGGTGTCGCTTGTCGTCCGTCATTCGTTGCCCGTA